ATATTATATATGTGTATATATATTATATACATACACACACATATACAATGTGTATAGTGTATATGGGAACTACAAAATATCTGGGAAATTTTTGCAGGAATCCAATTTAAGGAAAACCAAAAGAAGATTATTGTTCTTAGTTACTTTTAAAAATGATATAATGATAGTAATTCCTAGAATGTTAGACCCAAAAGCATAGATTCTTTAGCATAATTTCCCCTCCTTTACTGGTGGAAAAACTGAGCCTCAAAGAATTTAAAATAAATCACTATAGGCCACGGAGCTACTGATGAGAGTCTGTACTAATCTAGGTCTCCTGATGCTTAGGCCTCTGTTTTATAAAACTTCTGAAGCCCTTTCAAATCAATTAATTAATCCTTGTAAGAACTCAGTGAAGTAAGCAAGTGATATTTATTCTTACTTTAGTGCCATTTACTGAAAAAGCGATTAGATATCTGTAAGCCAAAACTGATTCTACTGTAATTAAACATGTTTTTTAATCACTCGAAAAGAACAGACTATTAAGTGGGCTTATCATCTTAGGAATTAGATTTCAGTTTCTTGTACAACCAGTTTAAAGATCACCACTTCTCACCTGGCATCTTAAATTCCTTTTATATTAAGCATAAAGCCTGTATTTGTCTAGGAAGATTAAGCAGATACACAATCGTTACATTTGCTGCATCTCAGGGCTCCTCCAATTCTCTCAGCAAATGAGTGAGTGGGAGATCGAGAGTGTATCGCCCTTGGACTTGCATAAATTACTAGAATGCATCCATTGGCCTGTTGGTTTTCCTTCCAAATGACTTCCTCAGGCTGCAGTTTCTTGCCTGCCCTCTTTGCTATATTGGATAAACAGGAGATGCACAGTGGTTTTCCTTATGTAATTTATTATGATAATTATTGTCTAAATATGAGCAAATTGTTCATGAAAGCAGCCTTTAATTAAAGTTTGCATAGAGAACTCTTTAATTATTAAAGCAAATGAGTTTTCGGTTTTAGTTCAGAATTTGAATGGAAGTGGTTATAGGAATGACAGGCGTGGGACTAGGCACATGGGAGCTCAGGGTTTCTTGCCTTTCCTTTCTCATATTTCCTTCCTTCTGCTTGTTCACTGCTCCCATACTATCTGTTTTAGCATTCCACCAGAGCTGCTACTTTCCAAAAAGCACCTGTAGTGCCAAAGTTATTTCCCATGAAAATGCCTGGGCCCCCAGTGCCTTGGACTCAGTCAGCAAGAGCAGAAGATTACAGGCAGCGCTCAAGGAAATCTTGCAAAGCATCTCATTCCACTTGATGGAAACCCAGACCTAGAACGGCGTGATCACTTGCCCAAGGCCCATAGCAGAGCTGAATTCCAACACCCAAGAACAGTTTAACTTAGGCGGGTCTCAGCCTCCTCCCCTGTAAAATGGAAATTTTAAAATGGAAATCAAGATATTTACTCAGGTTACTATGAAGAACCAATATGACAAAATAAGTAAAAAAGACTTTAAAAATTGCAATGTGGTACATGCAGTTTAAATTTTTTTCTTTTAAGCTATGCTTTTTGATACTAAGTGCTAATAACTAGTAAATGTTAGCATGTGGCTCTTCCAAGTACGATTTTCCAAGTACATATTGAAAGAGGAGGTCTTGAGGACACATCAAAACCCTAGAGGGGAGAAATTGGATAATCATTCTGGGTGCCCCTCAGATCACTTAGCTATGCAGTCATGTATTTTAATAAGAACAAAGCCTGCTTTCAGAGACGAGGGGATGAAGAACTTTGCAAAGAACCTGAAAAACTAGCATCTAGCATCTAGTTCTACATGTAGGGTGGGGGTTGATTAAATTAACTTAAAAGTCTCCTTTAACACCAAAGTTCTGTAATTTTGTAATTCCAAAGGATTCATTTTTAACAGACAGTCCCATCCATGTGCTTTCTCTTCAGACCCAGAAACATGAATGTCTATACTGTTAGAAATTGCTATCTTGATCCTGATCTTATTGTTCATATAATTTTGTTGATATAATTAACTTTATAACATTGTGTATGTTAGAGGTATATGAGACCAGATGTGTTGTTTTGATTTATCTTGATCTAAAAAAAGAAAGGGGCCTCCCTGGTGGCACAGGGGTTAAAGACAGGGCTATCAAGCTGTCGGCAGCCACTACAGCATGATCCCCCGGCTGGCCAGGGAGCAACCCACATGGAGCAGTAGACCTCTCCTGCTTCACCTGCTGCTCCCCTCAGCAGTGCACTTCAGTGGATCTGCCTGTTCTGTTCCCCGCTCTGTCTCTGGTGAATCCTGTCACCGCCCCCCACGCCTCTGGCCTATACCCCAGTTCTTGTATGCATAAATGAATAAATCTTAAAAAAAGAAAAAAAAAAAAGAAAAGGAACCCAATACACTCATGCAATAAGTACATATACATAGAACACTCGAACAAAATGGCCTTTTAAATTTTTTTATTTAAAGATTTATTTATTTATGCATACAAGAGCTGGGGTACAGGCCAGAGATATGGGGGGGTGAGAGGATTCACCAGAGACAGAGTGGGAAGCAGAACAGGCGGATCTACTGAAATACACTGCTAAGGGGAGCAGTGGGTGAGGCAGAAGAGGTCTGCTTCGCCATGTAGGTTGCTCCCTGGCTGGCCAGGGATCAAACTCGTGCTGCAGAGGCTGTGGATTGCTTCACATGTGGTGCTTAACCCCTTGCACCACCAGGGAGGCCCCAAAATGGCTTTTTTAAGTTAAAATAAATATGAAGGAAAAGGGCTATGACCTCCAACCTTCAAACTTCTGACCTTAACAGACTGAGTTTGATTATTATTTAGTGATTGTCTGTAAGGAAGAAAACCTTAGTCTCGGTTTACCCCAACCCTTCAATTATTTGGAGGAATCAGAAGTCCATATAGATCGTTCCAGCTAGCTGCCTGTGAGCAGTGTGAATGGAGGCATGATCATTACACTCTACCCAGAGACACCTGATGGAAGGACCAAGTCAAATTTGCTGAAAAATCACATTTTTATACCCCCAGAGCTAGACACATAGAGGCACTCGGGATATATGTGTGCAGTGAGTGAATATAATACATCAATGTGTTGTAGGTCAGAACTAGACCAATAGGGAGCAAGTTATCCCAGTCTTTGTGTAAAAGACCTGGAAGTGTGTGAGACCATGGCTTATTTGAGGAACAAGAGAAAGTGCAGTTTACCTAAAGTATAGAACTCTCTGTCCTGGAGGCGGAATAGCTAGAAATGAGGTTGGGCAGGTGAGGATGCATCACCCTGCATTTCATAGGAATGTCATGGCTTTTAGGTTTTATCCTGCAAGGGAAAGGGGACAGAAAGGCAGTAGAAAGGGATATGCAGCTGGGGTTGGCATTTAGGTTGGAATGTGGTGATGGATTAGTTTTGTGTTTTAGAGAGGGCTCTGGCATCTGGTGTAAAATGGCTGTGGAGAGGAGTTTAGGAGTCCAGCAAGGAGGGTGCAAGCCTAGAGGCCCGGTTCCCAATTAGAAGGCTCTTTGGCAGTTGTGCAAACAGGATGAAGGCCGAGCAAAGCAGTGGTGGCAAGCAGAGATGGAGAAACATTTAGTCAGGATTAGCCTGCAGGGCAAAGAAGACGTGATAGATAAGAAGGTGAAATTAGCACCCCCAAAACAAAACCAAATGAAATTTACCAGCTAATCGAATAGAAACAGAGACCTGTGCTAGTAGTGAAAAATAGCCTAGGGGTGAGTTGACAGTAAATCTAATATGTGTCAGCCGTGTGACATGCAGACAAGACAGCAAATAACATTTTAGGGAGGTCGAACAGAAAAGTCCAGTGTCTAGACACCAGACGTGACCATGCCTGTCAGCTCTAGGCAGAAGGGTCTATGCCCTCTAGTTGGGGAAATGGAGAGGGGAGGATAGTTCCTACCTCCCACTTTCAAAAGATATAGAAGAATTGGCACAAACTCAAAGAGAGTCTTTAGAGCAATACAACCTGGAAGAACCAAGAGGCCAGCAGATTTATCTTCAAATTATTGGACCAGCATGGGTAAGAGGGGCAAAGCTGGCTTTGTGAGGCCTTTAAGGAGCAGAAGTTACCAAGGGGGTCTCCCCTTTCACACAGCCTCAAGCCCTGATGCAGAGAATCTAGTGGCGGTCAGTGGAGCCTGTTAGTCCTTGTTCCTGGAGGTGGTTCAGTTAAGAGGGTAGGGACCTTGTACATGGGACCAACACAAAGCACCACCACCACCCCCAACACACCGCCAAACAAAAACTATCAGTATGGCGGATGACATTCGAGGTTCTTGATGACCCTCTGATGTGTAAATTCTGGCCAAGCGGGTGTATGTTTGTAAGCCTTCCTGCTCTTGATGAGGTGGCCGGCAGTACTTGTCTATTTTATACTCGTTTATTCAAGGTAACGGGTCACGGGAGGGTCGGCAGACCAGATAAATGGCGGCCTCTAAATCGCTGTAACTTCGTGCGGGGGGGTGAGGAAGCCTGGGTAAAGCCTTGGAAACGTCTAGAGCAACCGCGCAATGGGATAAACTTCGGCGGCAGCTTTGCCGCACGAGAGGGGCGGGGCTACTCGAAAGGGTCCTCAGAGAAGGGATTGGCCCTGGGGGGATCGAAGGGGCGGGACTAATCCATTGTTGCCATTGGTCCTGCGGGCAAGTTGAGGGATGGCAGGGAGGGGGCGGAGCCCGCGAGGGGAGGCAATTGGCTCCGGGAGCGCCCACCGAGGGGAGCGGGCAGGCTGGCGGGCAGGCGAGCCCGCAGTCAGGAAAGGGGAGCCCGCGGCAGGGAGGCAGCTGCGGGGATCTCGCCGGGGCCGCAGCAGGGCGAGGGTGCACGGGGCGTTGGCACCGGGGTGCGCGCCTGCGTCGCCGACCTGGATGCGGCGGGGACGCTGCTGCACCCCGCGCTCTCGACGCGAACCATTCAACAGCTGGTCTCGGGGGCAGCGGTCGCAGGGAGCGACTGGGCTCGTGGACGGCTGCAGTGGCGGCGGCTGGGAAGAGGAAGCGGCGACCGGCGGCGGCGGCGGCAGTGGTCCCGCTACCCTGGCAGAAACCGGAGTGGAGACGCAGCGGTTCCTTAGGCTCTGGGTAAATGCCCTCCGCCCTGCTCGCAGAAAAGGCAGCCACGTCCCGCTGCGTCTCGCCGGCTAGCCTCCCGGGCCTGCGGGAGTTCTGGTTCCAAGCAGACAGGGCCACGCGGGCACGCGGTGGGGATTAGAGAGGGGAGGGGCAGGAGACCCCGGTCCTCCGCGCGCCCCTGGAAACCGTGCAGGTTTTCAGAGATGCGCCTCGAAGATTCTTGCCCTGGTCCTCCCCCTTCGCCCTAGACCTGCCGCACCTCCACTGGCCCTGGCACCGCACTAGGGGGCGCTCCGGCCTCTGCTCTAGCCGAGGTCGCTGGGGTCCCCTGCCATTGCTTTCTGCCAGTGGGAACTAAGGGTGCCCTCTCCTGTTAGACCCACGCGGTAAGGGCCTGGGCGCTGGGCTTCCCCCAGCTCCTGCTGCACTATTCCAATGAATCGTTAGCTGGGCGCCACCGCTCCGGCTTCTCTGGCTTCAGAGACTTATCAAGACTTATCAAGCGTGAGGTTTCTGCCACGAGTGGACTAAGACCAGTTCCATTCTGGGAGAGCAGACCTCGGGCACGGGGTCCTGAGCTTGATGTGGGAGTCAGTGGAGCCAGGGGAAGAAGCAAGTGGAAGCCCACGCTGTAGGAGAAACTGCTATCCCCGGAAAGTAGGGGAATCACGTTGTAGCCTAGTTCCTTGAGAGCCACGCCGTCCTTCCATGTCGTCTGTAGCGTTTTATGCTTTTATTGAAAGCCAGCCTCTATGAGAGAACTTTTCAATGGCACTAACTCTGAGGAGGAACTTGTACTGAACCACTGCGTTTCGGCATGGGGCCTAACTCCCTTTGGGCCTTTTCATTTTCTCTGTGTTTTTTTTTCTTTTTTTTTTTTTTAGATTGAGAGTAAGATCTCAAAGATCATGCACATTTTGCGCCGTCTTACATCCAAATTTTCTGTCTGCCTCTGGTCTAACTTTGGAAATTCGTGCCGTTGAAGCCTGCAAACTTGTCCAACCCATTGGACAATTTATATTGTCATATAAATTGATACCTCTCAAATTATGGGTTTTGTTCGCTTTTTAAAGAAAGTGGTACTAGTCACGTTCTTCTATGCCTGCTTTTGCTTGTTTGGGAGGCAGTCCCTCAAAGCATGGAATACCTTATAGAAAGGTATTTTTACTTTTACACCAACTCTTGCTAAGCACAGAGAAAAGTAACAACTAAAATAGGTCTGCTGGCACTGGTGGTCCTAGAATGCCAGCTAACCTGTATATTAGAGAGTGGTGGGGTCGACCTAAGATGGAATAACATCGGGAGAGTGGAAGGATAGGCTCTTCAGAGGCCATTTTGTCTCCTGTAGTGGGTCATGGGTTTTACATTTACTCCCAACCAGAGATCACACCTGCATGGTGGCCCATTTATCAGGTTCCCCCCATCTGACACTCACGTGAGGAGAGAGGTATTTGCCTGGCTTTGTGTATCATCTGTAGCATAGAAGAAAAGGTGAGGTGCACAGGTTTTGGAATGCAAAGGTAGTGGCAGTGGCAGTGGGTAGGGCTTATGAGAGAGAGAGGAGCTTGTTTCAAATGTTGAGACAGCTCTCTCTACCTCTGAGGCTGGCTGCGTGTTCTCCCCAGCAGGCATTGCTGTGTTTGCTAGAGGAAGACACTTGTGCTGAGTTGTTTAGATCCATGGTTCCTGGTGCAAGACTCTGATTTGGTGTCCCTGTGGGTTTAGAGGAGCTCTCTGTTCTATTCAGTGTGCTTCCGGAACTTTACAATGCTTTGCAAATAGGGAACTGAGGTAGACTCATGTCTGGGTCCCAGTCTGAACAAATATGGGCCATGTGGAATCCAGTGGTGCTTTGCTATGAAGAGCCAGAATAAGGCCTAGAGCAATTACAAGAGCGGAAGGTCAGCTGTGCTAAGAAGAGCCCACATGAATTTGGCACTTACTGAGGGTTGGCTATGAGCATCAGTTCATTTAATCCTTGAAAAATTAGTGCCTAATAGGTTACCGCTATTATCATCTTCTGAAGCGCTAAGAGGTTAGGTGATCACCCAGCCAGTTGATAGTAGAGGTGAGATTTGAATCCAGGTCTACTTGATATCAGCCCTGGAGCTAGGAAGCATTTTACCTTTTTTTTAAAAAAGATTTATTTATTTACTTATACAAGCACTGGGTACAGTCAGAAGTACGGGAGGGCGAGAGAATTCACCAGAGCCACAGGGGGGAACAGAACAGGCAGACTGACGAAATACACTGCTGAGGGGAGCAGCAGGCGAGGCACAAGGGATCTGTCACACCATGTGGGACCCTCGCTGGCGGCCGGGGATCGAATTGGCGCTGCAGAGGCTGCAGGCACCTTTGTAGTCCAGTGCTCAACCGCTGCGTCACCAGGGGAGGCCAGAAAGCATTTTATCTTTTATTCTCACAGAGGTATCATAATAGAGGTGGGATATGAGCAAGACTGAATAAGACTTTAAAGGCTGGGTGGGACTTATATAGGGAGAAAGGACATTTGGCTTAGGCGCTCGACAATTTTGAGTTTAAAGGAACTCAAGGAGGACCAGCCCAAGTAAAATGGGGCATAGACACAGGCTGTGAGGTGGGGTAGAGCCGTGTTTTGGAGACCCTCAAAGGGAACTTCTGGGTTGATATAGTAAAAAGGGGGAGATGTTGAGAATTTTTGAGCAAGGAAGAGCAGGGCAAAGCCAGTACCAATTGCTTGGAGCACCTACTTAGTAGGTCCCTGAGACATACCCTGCCTCATATGCTTGCCCAGCTGTCAGCATATTTGACTCTTGTTTTCAAATTTCCTCAACCTTTGGGGAGTACCGAGTACATATGGCCCAACAGAGTCTGGGGTTTATTGCGCTGAAGAAGTAGGCTAGGGGAGGGGCTCTGGGTCAAATTCAGCCATAGGTGGGTGTTCTCCAACCTGCACAATATTTTAAACCACCACAATATTTTAAGCATCCATTGATGGATGAGTAGCTCAAGAAGATGTGGTCTACATACACGATGCAATACCACGCAGTTGTTAAAAAGAAAAGAAAAATATCTTAGCATTTGCAACAACATGGGCAGACCTTGAGGGAATTATGCTTAGTGAAATAAATCAAAAGGAGAAAGACAGGGCCTCCCTGGTGGTGCAGGGGGTTAAGTCTCAGCACTGTGAAGCAATCTGCAGCTACTGCAGCACGAGTTTGATCCCCAGCCAGCCAGGGAGGTGACCCACATGGCACAGTGGATCTCTCCTGTCTCGCCCACTGCTCCCCTCAGCAGTGTATTTCATTAGATCCACCTGTTCTGCTTCCCACTCTGTCTCTGGTGAATCCTCTCCTCTCAACCCCCTGCACCTCTGGCCTACACCCCATTTCTTCTATGCATAAATAAAAAAATAAATCCCTTTTTAAAAAAGGAGAAAGACAAAGACCATGTGATTTCACTCATGTATGGAATATAAGGAAATAGAGAAACATTAAAAAACGAAAACAAACCCTTAGACTCTGACAACAAAATGGTAGTGACTAGAGAAGAAGAGGGTGCAGGGTGGGGGTGGAACAGGCAGAGGGGTCAATGGGATGGGGGTGGGTGGCGATTAGAACTTCGGTGGTGGTGTGGCACATACAGTTGTTGAGATGTGAAACTGTATACCTGAAACTTACATGGTATTGTAAACCAATATCACCTCAAGGTTTTTTGGTTTTTTTTTAAGCAATTGAATTAGGGGTCACCATTGAAAAACCAAAAGATCTCAGTAAAGGTCAGGTTTTCCAGCTCCTTTTGAAACCCCAGAAGGCTTGGTGTGTGTTTCACCAGCAGGGGGCTGTACCATGCTGACTTCCTCAGTTGGGTTCTAAGAGCACCATGTCCCCCCAGTCCTGGGGCCTCTCTGACTCTGTGGACCCCAGACCCCCTACTCTAGGAAAACAAGTCCCACCTGGGAAGACTAATTCAGGATTATCCTCTTGTCATACTGTGTAATTAGGGAATTGTTGGACATGGAGCAGAATCGACTCTGAAATGCAAATGATCCACACCAAGAAATACTTTGAATGACGTTGAGGAAGGGCTGATGGCTAAGGACTGAGCAGTAGCCACCGGTGGCGGCTTTCCTCTGGATGGGGGTGGCGGGTGAGCGGTGGGAAACCTGGTATGCCAGGGTCCCAAAGGGACATTCTAGCCGGCCTTGCTGGTCCTTCGCCCTTCTCTTGGACTCAAGTTTTCTGTTTGCAGACTACTCAGTACGTAGAAGATTTGACTCGGTACATGTAAGATCTGGGTCAACGTGATGAAAAGAATGCAGGGGGCAAAACCGCACAGAAATGAGTACCTAAAATGTAGCATGTTAGACAGGTTAATCTGGAAGTACCTGAAGGCACTACATACTGTTCTAGTGGACCGGAATAAGCCATTTCAGTGTTGTCATTTGCGGTGAAGAGTTCTTCACTGTGTGGGTCTGTCTCTGTGCTGCAAGACTTTTAGCAACTCTGGTCCCTGCTCACAAAGTGAGAGTGGCGTCCTTTCCAACAGCTGCTCCTGTGACCACTGCATTCAGCTGTTCATATGCCTGTCCCACACTGGAAGGGAGAGGTACCAGCACGTTTAAAAACCACTGAAGCCTATTCCCAGAAATTCTAACACTCATTTCACAGGAGTGTTAAAATCGTTATCACTTATCTGTGGCCCAAATTATCTTAAGTTTCTAATGACATTCACCATTTTCTTTCTCAGACTCCAGTTAATTGTCTTTCTCTTTCTAGACTCAGTTCTTTGAGGGTGATTCATCGCTGTAGCCCCCCAAGTGTCTTAAATGGAGTAGTCGCTGGTAAGTAACCTTGTTTGGTCTCCTGAGTTCACTGATTAATGCTAATAGCCCTGGGAACCAGAAAAAACACACCAACTGGCATGGTCCTTTCTTTGACGTTAGGTGCTATTCTTGGTATTTCCAATAGGAAAGTAACACCTTTGAAATGTAGTTGATGAGCAAAGTCTCTGTCTTTGGTAAGATTTGGTATGAAGTTCCAAATATGTGCCCGGCACTGTTCTGGGCTCAAGATAAAATGGTGAGCCAGACAGAGGCAGTCCCTGCCCTTGTGGACTAACAGACTGGGGGAGGTTTGAGACAGATAGAAAACAGGTTAATAAATACACATGGCAATTTGATGTCTCAGTGTTACAGTGAAGATCGAATGGGTTTATGTGCTACAGTGAGACAGGGCGGGAACAATAGTATTTAAGATCGCGTTTGGGGAAGGCTTCTCTGAGGACATAATATTTAAGCCAAGCCTAGAAAATGAGGAGCCAGCTATAAGAAGATCTTGGGGGGCAGGCGGAGAGAGCACTTCAGTCAGAGAGAACCAGAAGTGCAAAAATCCTGAGAAACGAACTTTGAGGCATTTGAGGAGCAGTAACCAGGCCGGTGTGTTGGGGTGGGGAGAACAGGGCAGGAAGGGAGAGGGTACAAAATAAGTTTAAAAAGATGACTGTGTGCCATGTCTTGAAGGTGAGCAGTTTGTATTTTGTTCCAAGCATTATGGGAAGCCACCCAAGAGTTCTGAACAGAAAAGTAGCACTATCTGCATTAAGGCTTAGAAGAGACCGTTTAGGCTGTTGTATACTGTGGTGTCTCTGGGGATGGGTGAAGAGAGACTAGTTAGGGGTCTGTTCTGATAATCCAGGTTAGGGGTGGCGGGGGCACAGACGGGGGTGGAGCGGGAAGTCGGGGGAGCTGTGAAGATGGATGTGGATTTGGGATGTGAACTCAGGGTGGAGTCAAAAGTACTTACTGAATCTGATTGAATCTGAGAGGAGGGGGCATAAATCCGAGTCTTGAGCCTGAGCACCCTAGTGGAGGGTGGCTCTAGTGAGGGAGATGGGGATCCCTGGGGGAAGGGAGCAAGTTTGAGGTGGAATGGAAATGTAGAGTTTGGAAATGTAGTCATTTGGAGGATCCAGTATTGGCTTTATTCCTATTATCTCAACTTGCTAGGTTGTGATGTGAATGAAGCATTCAGCTTCGAGACATTGACTAGGCAGTTGAATATCAGTATAAAGGTTGGCTGGAGTTTCACTCTCTTAAAATTAAATGGCAAACTAAAGCTGCTTTAAGTCGCCATTATATACCAATAAAGGTGGCAGAAATGAAAATGATCTGAAGTCAGCAGGGCTGCACGGGATTCAGGCATGGCAAACTGACTTAATCTTGCAGCAGAGCGATTTGGCGATATGTAAACTTATTCCTACCCTTTGACATGGTAATGTTTTGAGGAAATAATTTTTTTAAGGATTTGTTCAGAGATTTCCATACTGATGTTCTCTCTCCTATCCTATGAGTAGTATAGAGTAGTTATGGCACTCTTTGGGAAAGAGTAATGCTCTTTATTTTATTTTATTTAAAAAAAAATATTTATTTATTTATTTGTACACGCACTGGATACAGTCAGAAGCGCAGGAGGGTGAGAGAATTCACCACAGCCAGAGCAGAGAACAGAACAGGCAGACTGACAAAGTACACTGCTGAGGGGAGCAGCAGGCGGCAGCAGGAGAGGTCTGCGCGCCATCTGGGACCCTCGCCTGGCAGCCCGGGATCGAACCGGCGCTGCAGAGGCTGCGGGCAGCTTCGCAACCCAGCGCTCAACCGCTGTGCCACCGGGGAGGCCCGAGTAATGCTCTTTAAAAATTAACAATGATGGCGAGAATTGTTGGAGCCGCCAGGTTGTCCTCGCTGTTTCTGTGGCATGAGGTGCAGGGAGGATTTTGGAAATTTAAGGAGCTGGTGCCTGATGGAGAATGTGGCACCCTCGGCCACAGTCTCCCAGAGGAAGCAGAGAAAGCACCGGCTCCCCATTCTTTTTAAAGCAGGTTTTCCAGCCAGAGACCTTACCTTCCTCTAAAAGCTAGTGGCCACTGACTCGTGCATCTGAACTGTTTATTGCTTGTTCATCGATTAGCAGAAGACCCCAGAACAAATGCTTGTGAGAATAAAAGTGGGATGGTTAAAAAGGATCTTAAACCTGCTGTAGCAAAGGTAATTCTAAGGAAGAGCAAAGGTTAGAAGTCAAGGAACACATTTTTCAAAAACAAATGGTATATATGTTATTTTAGGTAGTCACGTCATGAAAGCATGTTTATGGATCAATTAGGGTTGTTCATTATATCAACTAGTAGGACCTCCTTGATGGCCTAGGGGGTTAAGACTCAGCACTATCATGAATAACAGTTCGATCCCCAGCCAGAAAGCTAACCCACATGGCGCAGCAGGCCTCTCCAGTCTCTTCCTGCTGCTCCCCTTAGCAGTATTTCAGTAAATCCTCCTATTCTGCCCCCCATTTTGTCTCTTGTGAATCCTCTCACACCTCTGGCCTACACCCAAGTGCTTCTATGCCAAAAAAAAAAAAATCGGCTAGTGGAGGGCTGTTTGTATTTTTTTGTGTATTTTTTACTGGTATTGAAATATTTCAAGTAAACACATAGGCCTATGTAATTTTTTTAAGAATTATGTTTCATTCATTTTTAAGTGGTGTCTATTTTGCTTCTATATAATTGCCATTAAATTCCATTCAATTAAATTCCATTAAATTCCATCTAATTGCCATTTTACATATCAGAAATGAAATCTCACTATACAAAGTAGTTAACTATATTTCTTTGAATTCATTTTAAGAGTTTTGTTTTAGCCACAATTAGCTATGGAATTAATTTTGTCTCTTAAAATAGACAACATAGGGCCTCCCCGGTGGCGCAGTGGTTGAGCGCTGGGTTGCGAAGCTGCCCAAGGCCTCTGCGGTGCTGGTTTGATCCCCGGCTGCTCCCCGGCCACCGGAGGAGGGTCCCACATGGCGCGCAGACCTCTCCTGCCGCTCGCTGCTCCCCTCAGCAGTGTACTTCGGTCCCTCTGCCTGCTCTGCTCCCCACTCTGGCTCTGGTGAGTTCTCTCACTTTCCCGCGCTTCTGACTGTACCCAGTGCTTGTATAAACAAAACAAACAAACAAATAAATAAATAAATAAAACATGCCTCTATTTAAAAAAAAAAATAGACAACATACTGTCAAATCTAGGTGCATCTGAAATATGTTTAACTCTTTAATACCTTTGCATAAGCAAAGCAAGTGGACTTTTGCCTAATGCTAGTAGCATATAATGGCATGATTTCTCAACTATAAATATCAGCAATGTGCTTTCAAAACCTCTCTCTCCCCCCAAATGAAAAAAATACATAACAAACTGACTTAACTACAGAACAAATTGACGTAACTTCTTTAGTTTAATTAAATATGGGAGTTCCTCCCCCCACGCCACCTCAGCTTGAGGCATTCTTCAGAAATTTGCTGAATATCATTCAATAATATTTTTCACTTTTTATTTTGAAATAGTTCTAGATTGCAACATGAAGTTGCAAAGATACAAAGAGGTCCCCCAATGACTCATCTTCAGTGATTACAATATCATGAGTACAATATCAAAATGAGGAATTAGCTGTAGGTAATTCTGTACCTTTTTATCACGCGTAGATCCCATTAACCACGACAGTCCACATAAAGAACTGTTTCATTACCACAAAGATCTCTGCAGTGTTGTCCTTTTTAAATATACACCCCGCCCCCTACGACCATCCCTCGCTCTTGTACCCTTCACCACCTTTAAGCCCTGGTTACGACTACTGTCTTCTTCATCTCTATAATTTCCATATTTTGGTGGAATCAGACAGGATATGCCTTTGAGGGATTTTATTTTCCCACTCAGTGTAAGGTCCTTGAGATCCATCCAAGTTGTATGAGTTTGTTCCTCCTCGTTACTGAGTCATAGCTCATGGCATTTATATTACTACAGTTTGTACAGCTTTCACCTATTGAGGGGCATTATGATTACTTGTAGCTTTTGGTTATTACAAATAAAGCTGAGATAAACAACAACAACATAATAGTAATTGGAAAAGGCAAATCCTCAGGGAGGGGGACTAAATATGTAAAAATACTACAGATTTCCTATAGAACTTTATATATAAAACTTCTACAGAAATTTTCTATAGGCACGAAAATGGAGACGTGTGTTGACCCTATCCATATCTGGAGTTGAGTTAAAACGACACCAGGATGGTCCACAAGTTTACCTGTGTAAATCTCACATACTTTTCATGCCAAAAATTGTAAAATGTACAGTTGTCTTCATTTTTAAAAATCACCTTGTCCACTTTTGACCTCATATCTCTTTCTCTCTGGCAGTGTTCTCTGGACTCAGTGCCACAGCACAGCCTTGTGCCATTTTCACCATAAGGTATTGGCTAAGCGCATAATCTGTGGGGATTTGTATTCAAATAAGTTTACCTTGGGATTTTAAAAAGGTTGGGAAAAAGCACAGCTCTGAGAAACTGCTTAGTAATGCAAAGCCCCGTTCAGTGTAAAGACTGCTTCTCCCCTGTAGGTGGCGACGGGGGGGACTGAATTCTGTTGGTAATTTTCAGATTCTGAAAATAAAACTCAGAAACAAAACACTGGTGACTTTGTGATATGCATTTTCCACAAAGAGCACTCTGCCTATTCAGTGAGTAAGTTAAAAATACAGAATACACTCAGCCGCACTTCTTTAAATCCCGAGAGCTTTTTTTTAACGTGAAGAAGTGAAAGTAATGAGAATTAATTCTAAATTAATTAATTATAAATTAATCCAAGGTGTAAAGCTGCCTGGGTGCCTGGGAATGTCTGCAGAGAGGCATTCTACAACAGAAATGCTCCTAGTGCTATAGAAGGGGACAAAAGACTGGTCAGACAGGTCTGCTGACTGCTCCGTATAATTTAAAAATTGGCTCCCTCCCCAGCTGTCATGGAGAGACTCCTCACTCCCAAACACGCAGTTATGTAAACGTATTTGCATAGAAAGACCTATCCCAAACTTTTCTTTGGGTTAATTTATTTTAATTAACCTCAGAAATACTTTTGTTTAACATTTCATAGTTCCAAATTTATCAATTGCTGCATGGCTGCGAATCTCCAAAAGTTCCTTCCTTTCTATCCCCGGAACCCCAATAATCCCTTTAGGACCATATTATTTTGGGAATTTGGTCATCTGGAGGGTCTTATATGGGCTGTATTCCTATACTTAGATTCCTATACTTATATACTTATATGGGCTATATTCCTATATATTCCTATGTGATACTGAGTGCTGTTCACATTAACAATGTGATTTAAATGTTTTTTAAAATCAGAACACATGGTTAGCCTCAGTTTTTAAAATGCTCAGGATAATGATGTGTTAGAATACACGAATGTTCATCCATGACTTCCTGACTAAAATGCCAAGGAATATTTCTATTTGGTCAAGACTCACTGGGACTCGGTACTAGCCAGGAACTTGGAAATTGGCTGTTGATTTGACCCAAATACATTTTGATTGCCCTGCCGACTATAAATATGTTGCTATAATTTTATACATCTTAAATGCCTGCAAAATGAAATATCTTCGAGGTTCCAAAGCCTGGAGGAAAAAAGAAAGGCAGCAATGAACTGCTTTGAAAGAGGACATTAAATTGTGCAAATAATCCTATTTTTTTCACTGTTATTTTAAGAACTCCTTAGTCCAATGACCTTTGTAGCACTGACACTTGTTAGAAAAATCAAGAGAGAATTAAATGATGGATACTTTCCTTCTGGCTCAATGCTTTTTTTTAAGATTTATTTTTATTTATTTATGCATACAAGAACTGGGGTGAAGGCCAGAGGTGCGTGGGCTGAGAGGATTCACCAGAGACAGGGTAGGGAGCAGAACAGGCAGATTGACTGAAATACACTGCTGAAGGGAGTAGCGGGCCAGACTGGAATGGTCTGCTGCACCATGTGGGTCAGCTCCCTGGCTGGGGGATTGAACTCGTGCTGCAGTGGCTGCCTATAGCTTAGCTTGAGACTTTAACCCCTGCGCCACCAGGGAGGCCCTGGCTCAGTGCTTTTAAATTTTAAAATTGTCTTTCTGATCTCACCTGAGATGGATCATAGGAGTATCTCTAGTGTCTTCTGAAATGAAAGAAGGTATTGGAATGCCTTTGGGTGCAGAATAAATTGAATTTACACTACAGGTTAAAACAACCATTTTAGGTTTGCGACTCCATCTCAAAACTTTTTTCTTTTCTCTGTTCTCTTATTCTAATGTTCTTCAGTAACGCTTGTTAGCAGGTATAAGAAGGAAGGAATATGAGGTGGATAGGTAACTAGAGAAAGCAGGCATAGTCTCTTGAGAATCTCTAAGAAATGTTCTGGCATTGGGAGCATGTCGAGTGAAATGCTTTGGTAAAGCTATGTACACAAGACTCTGCTGGAATGCACAGCATGTAAACATTATCGAATAACCAAAATTTTTGAAGGGTAGAGGAGCTCTTGTTTGCCTCTGCAGAGGTGTTAAAGAGTAAGTGTTCTCCGTACTGTTGCTTTTGATCACAAGACTAGAAGGGAGCCGTGTGCTGTACAGGGCCATTGGGGAGGTCACAGGGGAACTTAATGGACATGGAAATAGTTAAAACCTCTTTTTAAATTCAACTTTTTGATAATGCATGGAGGCCATAATTATGGCATTCCTTGCCATCAGATTTGGTTTATACTAGGCTCTTAAACCTTCGTTGGATAAAGTATCTGCGTATGACAGTGATTGGTGAAAATGAGGGGAAAATTGCTAACGAATTCTACCATTACTGTCAATTGAAGCAGACATATTAAGAGGAATTTTAAAGGGCAAATTAGGTTGTTCTGAAGAATCTATTTTAAGTCATAGCCTTATAACTTGATCTAAGCAATTCTGCCTGTCTTAGTAGATTTACTGATTAATATAAAGAAATATACATAGCTAAATAAATGAAATAAAATTACTTAAAATGGATTATTTTGAATATTTATTTGGTTTAAACAGGGTTTAAAACAGGGAGAAATATAAACTAAGCCTGGGGAGAAAAACACAAGTCCTTTTAGACCTATTTTCAAGAGCAAAATAAGGCCGTATGCAGCTTTAACTAGATTCAAGGATTGGCATATGTCAGCTTAGGGTGGAGAAAGTATGTTGATTTAGAAGAAAATGCCTGTTAAAGTTGAGAATTGAATGTAACTGAGTATTTTCCAGCTACTATGAGTATTTTCCAGCTACATCTGCCTGTTTTTGCTATAAAATACCTCAGTTATGACTTTAACATTCTATAGCCAGCTCGTGGTTGCTAGGGCCAGGGGGAGCGTTGGAAGCTTTGGGGATGATGGGTATTTTCACTACCTTGATGGTGATGATGGCTTCATAGGTGTGTCAGAACTTATCATTTGTACACTTCTCATACATGGGCAGTTTTTTATGTTATGAAACAGTTTATTATATTACGGTATATCAATTATGCTTCCATGAAGCAGTTTTGAAAAACAACCTCTGCAGCCACTGGCAACGCTAGTATCGAAGTGGCCAAGTGCTCCTTCCTTATTCAAGGTCGAATTCTAATCTCCCAGGCTTCAGTCATGACACACAAACTTGGGTTGTGGGTTCATATGCCTATGAGCATTTACAGTGATGGCAGATCGGGGTTTTTGATGGGGAGGGGAGTTGCTATTGTATTACTCAGTTTTGACCCTTTTTCTGGGCAAGTTTGTATCAGCAGTTGTGAATTACTTCCCTTTAATAGTCTATTATTATTTGAGTTTCTTCTTTTATGTTAAAAGAGTTAAAGCATTTAATATAAAGTTAACACATGTTTTTTGTAAAACATTCAAAAATTAAAGCAGTAGGGTGAGTGGGACTTGTGTATATGTGGAAGAGCAAAAATTAACCCCAAAATTGAAATAAATAAAAACCCCAAAATAGAAGCAATAAGAAGTAAGCAAAGTAAAAAGGGAAAGTTCGTTCCTCTCCTATATTCCCAATCCATTTTCCAGGGGAAATTTTTTTTATGTTACATAGTATTTTATTACTTTTATATTATTAATACAGTGGCATGAATTTTAAAATGAAGAAATCCATAAATATCCAATTTGTAAAATTTATTTAAATAAATAAGATATCTTCTGGTTATTTTTTTCTTATGTCCTTTAGATATTTTGCAGTCTCTATTCTATCACATTCTATCATAAATCAATTGACTTCCCTTTACCCATTTTTTTCCTAAATCCATAAGAAATATAATCCCATTACATGCCTATGAAATGGTTGAATTGATGGGGCTGCTTTATTTGTTTTTGATTTAACTTACCATGCTCTAAGGTAAGGTCATAGTCCTCAGAAAAACTCATGGAAAGTGGGGTAATATGCAGACTTCTCAGTGCAATTTTCAGAGCATCTGTTACACTGAATATGATTGTCTCCTTCCCAGAGGAAATATTTTTAACAATTTGATGTACATCTTCCCAGACTTTAGAGAGGTGTGTGCATGCACGAGTGTGTGCAGTGCTCATGCATTTGTATTACCTTCCATTTAGTACTTTATTATATTACATTTACAGAAACAAGATTATATTACACATTATTATCATGAAACTGCTTTTTCTTTTTTTCCTCAAAAATATATCATGGGGGCCTCCCCGGTGGCGCAGCGGTTGAGTGCTGGGTTGCGAAGCTGCCCGCAGCCTCTGCAGTGCTGGTTCAATCCCCGGCCCGCAGGGTGAGGGTCCCACATGGTGCGCAGACCTCTCCTGCTGCCCGCTGCTTCCCTCAGCAGTGTATTTCGTCAGTCTGCCTTTTCTGCTCCCTGCTCTGGCTCTGGTGAATTCTTTCACCCTCCTGCACTTCTGACTGTACCCAGTGCTTGTATAAATAAATAAATAAATCTTTTTTTTAAAAATAAAATAAAATAAAATATATCATGGGCATCCTTCCATGTCAGTAAGTCCAAATCTACCACCTCCCTACCTCCAGCCTTCCCTCCTCTTCTTTCTGTATCCAGTTCCTACTCCTTTACTTCCTCTTCTTCCTCTTTCTTCTTCATTTTTGTTAGTTTTTGGCCTGAGGTCTCCTTAAGGTAAAAGGCATCACAATGGGTATTATTAATAATTCTGCTTCGCTGAGCCAGTTAATTTTCAGTGACCTGGCAGAAGTTGCTGACATTGCTGAAGCATCGAAGCCATGACATTTGTAAAAAGCCTACTTCATGATACACACTAGGACCTTGATATTTTTTAATTTTTTAAATTTAATTTTATATATTTTTTTTAATAAATTTTATTGTTATATTCCCCATACAATTGCAGCCCCCCCATTCTGACCCCAATCCCTCCCCTCCCACCCCCGCCCCCCTAAAAGTGTCTCTGGTTCATAGTTTTTTGTTGATTTTGATTTTCACTTTCTTGTAGTTATTCATTTTCCTGGTCCCTTATTTAAGTTTTCTAGATTCCTGCTATGAGTGAGACCATCCGGTATTTTTCTTTTTCTTTTTGGCTTATTTCGCTGAGCATGATCCCTTCCAGCGCCATCCATGTTGCTGCAAATTGCATGTGTTTATCTTTTTTGAATGCTGAGTAATATTCCATGGTATATATGTACCACATCTTCTTGATCCAGTCATCTATTTTTGGGCATTTGGGTTGTTTCCAAAGCTTAGCTATTGTAAATAGTGCTGCTATAAACATAGGGGTGCAGGTGTTCTTTGGAATTGATGTTTCTGTGTCCTTTGGGTAAATACCTAGGAGTGGAATTGCTGGATCATATGGAAGCTCTATGTTTAGTAGGTCCAGAAATCTCCATACAGCTTTCCACAGTGGTTGGACCAGTTTGCACTCCCACCAACAGTGCAGAAGAGTTCCTTTTTCTCCACACCCTCGCCAACATTTGTTGTTGCTAGTTTTTTTAATATGTGCCATTCTCACTGGTGTAAGATGGTATCTCATGGTAGTTTTGATTTGCATTTCCCTGATGACAAGTGATGTTGAACATTTTTTCATATGCCTGTTGGCTAATTTTATATTTTTAAAAAGATTTATTTATTTATTTATACAAGCACTGGGTACAGTCAGAAGCGCGGGAGGGTGAGAGAATTCACCAGAGCCAGAGTGGGAAACAGAACAGGTAGATTGACAAAATACACTGCTGAGGGGAGCAGCGGGCGAGACAGGAGAGGTCTGCCGTGCCATGTGGGACCCTCGCTGGTGGCCGGGGATCGAACCAGCGCTGCAGAGGCTGCAAACAGCTTCGCACCACAGCGCTCAACTGCTGCGCCACCAGGGGGATGTTTTTTTAAATAAGATCGGAATATGAGCTCTTTGTTCTGGGATGGTAATTTAAGGTGAGTTATTCATAAACATTTACTTTCCAGTTCCCAAATCTGTGAACAACAAGGAAGATAGAAGAACAAATATCTAATTTGTGATTGTTGCTATTGTTCAGAAAAAGGAATTTAAGTTGAGCATCTTAAAGGAGGTCAGTTTTTTTTTTTTTATTTTTAAAAGCAATTGGGTGTTCTTGGAAAAGTCAGAAAATAACTCATGCTTCCTAATCGAGGCGTAGAGAGTCCTCTAACTGGAGAAACAGCTGTGAAAAGAGATTCTAGAGCAAAGGTCACAGATTGGCAAGCAAAGCGAGGCCTACAGATATGTTTAGTTGCATTTCACAATACTTGTAAATTCTTTTCATTGATTGCCAACATCTGAAAATCAGATTTTACATAAGGACCTAGATTTCTGACTTTGCTAGATTTCTGGCCTCTCCAGAATAATAGGAGTATCTGTTCACGGGGGCCTGCTTCCCTCGCTGTGGCTGGAGCTGAGGAGCAGGGTCTGTTTCCATGGAGCAGAGCTCCTGTCCCCTAGGCTCTGCTCAGGATGTTTTGCTCACTGACACCATGTTGTTGTCCTCTGTAGTCATCGAGCTGTGACCTCGCTCTAGAACTTAATGCTTATTTTTACCTCAGTGTGAGATGATTTTAGAAATATGTCCAAAGTACAGTATATCAAACGCTATAAAAAAGTGTCTGACTCATTTCTCTCCACTTTGATGAGAACTTTTATTATATTCCAGGAAAGCAGAGAGATATCACTAAAACATAGAAACTGTTTTTTTTTGTTTGTTTTTTGTTTTTGTTTTTTGATAGTTTTTTTTTTTTTGCTATCAAAAAACATCTAGACTTCATAGATATGAAGTCTATCCACCCATACGAAGGATTTGGGGCACATCCTTCTTATCTTTTGAGATTTTTTAATTTCAGAAAGTTGATGGTTTTTAGTAGTCTCTGTGAATTTAATCTTAAGTAGAAGAAGAGATTGAAGTTTTAAATAAAATCCATTTATATTGATCATAATTCTAAATGAGTGACTAAAATGCATCTATTAAAAGTTCTATTTAAAGCTGCAAAAATTTTATTAAGCCTGCTTTGCAAAAAAAAGAAAATACAGCACAATTTATGAACTTTACTTCTACATCAACATAGTCATGACAAGGTTATATCTAAAATGACTCTGCAATAAGCAGCCTTGAACCTATTTCTTTCTTATTTTAATGATTTCCCTAGGATAAGTGTCTAGAGTCAACGGGTCAAAAGGGATTCTTAGTTATTTTGCCAAATTAGTCTAGAAAAGGCTGTAATTAATTTACATTTTCTCCAGCAAGATATGAAGATGCTTGTTTTTTTTTCTCTTTCTTCCCAAAACTCTCCCAGGAATGGACCTTTATAATTTTTATCTATTTGTGTAAAAACTATTAAGTGGCATTGTACATCTTGAAAGGACTTGAAATTTAAGATGTTTGTGTCATCACTTAGCTACTGTTGCATTATAAGCCATCCCTCAACTTCCTGGCGTAAACAACAACCCTCTATTATTTCTCACAGGTCTGTAGATTGGCACCACTATTCTGACGTGTGATGGCTCCATTTGATCTTGGCTAAACTTGCTCCTGTGTCAGTGGTGCTTGGGGGTCGGACTGGGCTGCTGCATAGGATGGTTCATCTGTCATCACTGAACTTTTTTTCTGTTTGACTTCTCATTCTCTGTCTGACTAGTCCAGGTTTGTCCTCTTGGCCCTGCAAGCTTCCAGGAGTGTAAGGGCCACCTGAAATTTAGAATGAGCTCACGGTAACGGGCTGGGGGAAAATACACTCCGTCAATAGCAATAACTCTGCCATGTTACAAAAGGTGTAGATACAAGGTGAGGTGGAAACTGGGATCATTTTTGCAACTATTCTAACACAACATTCAAATGAAAGCTGTTCTTTCAAGTTGCCATCTTTCAACAATGGACCCACTAATTAATATAATTAGAGCATTTCTTGGAATTGCCTTCTTGGTGGGGGTCATGAATCAACTAAGAATATCAGTTTATTCTTTAACATCATTCATTTTATCCACTCTTCTTGATTCTAGATAACTTTTGATGATTTCTAAATATCAAAGCCATAATAAAAGAATTTCAAAATTGACCTTCATTAAGACTATTTAAAAGAATGTAACCCAGGGGGTCTCCCTAGTAGCCTAGGGAGTAAGTTTCAGCTCTATCACTGCCAAGGCTTGAGTTAGATCTCCAGCCAGGGAGCTAACTCACATGGCACAGCAGACCTCTCCTGTTTCTCCCTCTGCTCCCCTCAGCAGTGTATTTCAGTAGATCTGCCTGTTCTGCCCCCCCACTGTGTCTTGGTGAATCTTCTCACATCCCCCCGCCCCACATCCTTGGCCTACACCCCAGATCTTCTATGTGAAAATAAAACTAATAAATACAAGAATGTAACCCAGACCTTGGAATCAATCCAAGAGAAACATCCTAAAAGGTTTAAAACAAAGGCGATATCACTGGAATAAATGGAGAGCATGATAAACCTGATTACTTTTCATCATAACTGTTTTTGGAGTGTATTTTTTCTGGAATTTTTGAAAAAGCTATGACTTAAGTTGTAAGAAAAAATACCTATTGACTGCAGGCAAATTTGTTGAATATCAAATTAATTGAATATCAAATTACCTTTTCCCCTACAGGAACTTAATGTTGACTCTTACTTATTTTGCAGCATGCAGCAAACTACCTGGATGTAGTTCTTCATTTTGCTATTCGGATGATATTTTTGGAGAAAGAGAGCATGTTAATTTTCATATCATCCCAATTCAGTGTTGCTAGCATCTGGATTTCTAGACCATAATATCTTAGCTCCTGCTTTCGATGGCTTTTGAAAGAAATGCTCTATCAACACACCGCATGATCTCACTTATATGTGGCATCTGAAAAAGCTGGATTCATAGAAGCAGAGAGTAGAACAGTGGTTACTAGGTGTGAGGTATAGGTGAAGTGGGGAGATGTGTATATACTACATTAAGGTTTTTATGGGACTTTACATTTGAGATTAATTGTACAATCAAATGAAGATTTGGAATCTTGGGATCTCTATGAACAAGTCTTTTAATTTTCCTGAACCCATCTCAATTTCCTTATCTGTAAAACAACCAGGAAAGCACTTACTCACAGGTTGCCTTGGGAATCAAATGCAGTACAATAATACTGCCACCACTAATACTAATATTCATAGCTTATGTTTATTGAGAACTTCTTATGTGCCAGGTACTGCTTGAAGGATTTCACATGCATTTGCTCGTTTAATCTTCCCAGAATTCCTCCAATCTCTATTTTTCTGTTAAGGAAACTGAAACATAGTATATGGAAACTATTTGAAAACTGTAAAAACATGAAACAAATGCAAACTCTTGCCTTAATTTTCCTCTCAGGATACTTTCCCCTACCAATTGGACCAAAGTCCAGCAAAACCAGCCCATTCAAAATCCAAAATCCTTAAAAAAAGAAACATAACAACCCAAAATCTTTGTTTTCCTGCACTGGTATGAAAATGTTCTCTTTCACCTTCTAAGGTTTCCCGAAGCTACCATGATGGTCACGGTGGTTTATGATAACTCTGAGGCAACAGAGCTCTGTGCAGCTCAACACCTCTACCTCAAGCCCATAGCAAAACTGATGATCAATGTATTGCTCCCGGAGACTACAGAACCGGTACGACCCTTCTCTAACTGGGAAGTTCTTGACCAACTGAAGAGCCTGATTTGTCCTGACCAGTTCACCACTGTCCGCCTCTCCAAAAGTACAAAGGACTTCATCCGATTCGAGGGCGAGGCTGAGACTCGAAGTTTGGTTCAGATCCTGAAGGCCAAGTTACATGGGAAGATCATTAAGCTAAATGGTTTGAAAACAGACTTAAAAGTCATAGCTACAGATGCCCAGGGAGAGTGGGAGCCCTTCCCCAAAGAAAAGGAGTCCTCTTTGAGTGATGGAGGAGATGAGCAGGACCTTGATAAAAGCCCAGATTCTATCTATTTCGAAGGCTTGCCTTGCAAGTGGTTTGCACCCAAAGGTTCCAGTGGGGAGAAGCCATGTGAAGAGATCCTTCGGGTGGTCTTTGAAAGTTTTGGGAAGATCAAGAATGTAGATATCCCCATGCTTGACCCCTACAGAGAAGTGATGACTGGTGGGAGCTTTGGGGGTTTCAGCTTTGGCTTGCAGACCTTCGAGGCCTTTATACAGTACCAAGAGTCAACTGACTTTGTCAAAGCCATGGAGTCCCTTCGAGGGATGAAGCTGATGCTTAAAGGGGACGATGGGAAAGCTCTTGCATGTAACATGAAGGTAAGATAGCCAGTTTCTTTACTTTCCCATGGTTCAGGTGGTCTGGGGTAAAAGCTAGAAGGAAGCATCTAGAAAAAAATTCTTTAGATGCCACTGGACTCTGATCCATAGCTAATGTAAAGATTGTTGTCAGGAATATATGGATGTCTACGAAGAAAAATAACCCAGCTCTCAGGTATGCTGCCAGTTGTAGCTTTAATGTGATAGTGGTTAAAATCTGGGGCTCTGTACTAGCTTCTTCAGGACATTCAAGGATGCTACATGGCCCTAATGAAACTATCTCATATGCTAATTCTGTTTGACAAGTCACTGAGAAAGAGGGATACACACAGCTTGAATTCACTAGGAGAGCAATTTGCTCCCCTCTTTATACCCTTAGGGTCACAACTTAGATTTTCATGGGGTCTGTGAGGTAAATTGGTAAAACAAAATCCCAACAAGTTTGGATCCTTTCCTTTCAAAATCAGTCTGTCTGTCCTGTCTGTCACATTATAGATGTCTGGTCATCTCTCTCTCTCTCTTTTTAAGTGATTTTCTTTTTCTTTTTCTTTTTTCTTTTTTTATGTACAACAGTGGCTTTTTTTTTTTTTTTTAAAGATTTTATTTATTTATTTATACAAGCACTGGGTACAGTCAGAAGCGCAGGAGGGTGAGAGAATTCACCATAGCTAGAGTGGGGAGAAGAACAGGCAAACTGACGAAGTACCCCACTGAGGGGAGCAGCGGGCGAGACAGGAGAGGTCTGCCGTGCCATGTGGGACCCTCGCCAGCGGCCGGGGATCGAACCAGGCGCTGCAGAGGCTGCAGGCAGCTTCGCAGCCTAGCGCTCAACCACTGCGCCACCGGGGAGACCCTTATTTTTCTTTTTAGAGTACATTGGTTTTACAGCAGATTTGTGGGAAAGGTATGGAGCTTTCTCACAATATCTGGTCATCTTTTTCTTGAAGGCTGCCTCCGCCGGAGAACAATGCAGTTACACGCACCCTTTCTCTAAACTAATCTTCAGTACAAGTTGGACTTTCAACATAAGTAGCTCCCTGTGTGAGAGAAAGAATGTATATGTTTGTGAGAGAGAAAATGTGTGTGTGAGAGAGTTACTTGTGAAACTACTTATTTTAAAATGTACATTTAAAAATTAGAAGCCAGTCAGACAAGGTAGAGCAAAAACTATAAAGATAAAGCAAAAACCGGGCCTCCCTGGTGGTGCAGCGGTTGAGCGCTGGGTTGCGAAGCTGCCCGCGGCCTCTGCAGCGCCGGTTCGATCCCCAGCTGCTCCCCGGCCACCGGAGGAGGGTCCCACATGGCGCGCAGACCTCTCCTGCTGCCCGCTGCTCCCCTCAGCAGTGTACTTCGGTCCTTCTGCCTGCTCTGCTCCCCGCTCTGGCTCTGGTGAATTCTCTCACCCTCCCGTGCTTCTGACTGTACCCAGTGCATGTATAAACAAAACAAACAAATAAATAAATAAAACATGCCTCTATAAATAAAAAAAAAAAAAAGAAAAAAAAAAAAGATAAAGCAAAAACCACATATCATGACCCAGCTTGAAAAAGAAACCTTTACCACTGAGATGGGAACCCACCCCGGTATCCCACCCTCAGTCCTATGTCCATCTACCCCATAAAGATAACAGAAACTTGTTGTTTATCATTGTCCCTCAGGTCTCAATCACTACTTCTGCCTCCTTTTATTTTTTTAAGCAAATTTATATGTAGTGCTTGCATATGACTGCCTCTTTATTTGAGATTTACAATGTAGTTTAATAATCACTATAGTTGGATCTTAATTCTCCTCTGGTCAGTTTCTTGTACTCTTACTCCTAGACAAAACTATTTTTGTCTCTGGTGATTAAATACCTTATCTCAGTTGATCTTTGTAACAAACCAGAGGTGGTATACTCATGTTTCTCAGAGCCTGTGCCTATGTAATGGCACTGTGATGTCACTAGTGACTATGAAGTCAGCGCCTCAAAGGTTCTGCCAAAGAAAATTCTGAAGCCCACAGACTATCTGGCAAGTGAGCCAGAGGCCATGAACAGTATGGCTGCTCTTTGAATCATCATGTTCATATTAGTTTGTCTGTCTGGCCCGGGACACTCCCGGCCAGATAGCAAACTTACCTAATGGAACTTTAAATTATTTGAGGGCAGGTGATGTTTGATACAACTAAACACTTCAGTGAAAAAGCTATCAGGAAGAGAAATCAAGAAAGGCTAAAATTACAAGAACTGGAAGAAGAAAGGAAGAAAGAAAAGAAGAGAGAAGAGGAAGAGACTGAGAGGTAAGGAGACCAACTTCAGTGAAGAGGGTTTTTTAACTCTTGATTTATGGATTTTTCCCTCTTGAATGAGGGCTACACTTTATAGATAACATGAAGGTGGCCCGAGGAATGGATGTAGATTAGGAAACACCACTGAGGCCTACACTCTTGTAACTGTGCTATCACAAAGCCAAAACGACAAAACAGTTGACCAAGAGTTGTTTTTTTCTAAAGGAAAGCTTGTCAGGAAGAACCAGTAATGAAGAATAATGAGACTAGCCAGGTGAAGAGATCTGGGAAGCCATGATTTTTAAAAAAGAGGTCAGGAGCTTTTATAGTGAAAATCCTAGAAGTCAAATGCAAAATTTTACCATGTACCAAAATTTTACTTAGCGTACCAATTTAAATGTTTTAAAGATTTTTTTCTAGGTCTGAAAAAGCTTTTCTTCCATAAAATAGTCAGTAAACAAACTAACCCACAGGCAAGAAGGCATGGATTTGTTGGGACTGTTGCTTTTGTTGGCCTAAGTCTTTTCTGTGAATTTCAGCAGCCTCTATCCTGGTTTCTTTAAGCTTATCATTGTTTCTCAACTTAGGGGTTGAGCCTAGAAAGGGCTATTAGATTGCTAAAGGTTTGCCAAGAAAGTACAAATGGGTCAAAAGTACAGGGCTCTGAAAACAGTTTAAGGCCCTGGTCCCTCCCCTGACCTGGTTATTCTTCTAGTTTCTCAGGTAAATTGTAGCTATTCAAAAAAGGAGACAAGGAGTACTGGATCATGGGCCTCTCATTTGGCTGCCTGGTGGGGTGCTAGCAGTTACTTGAGATCCCAAGGGTGATCATTTGCCAGAACTTGAATCTAGTCAAGATAAAAATTCCCCCAAGTTTTCAGGCTGAGCATGCAGTCTAGCTCAACCTCCACATTTTGGCTAAGTCTTCACTCAGGAAACTGTCCCTTTTTTCTCTTCCCTGCATTTCCAGGGGGTCCTGACCAAAACAGTTTAATTTTTTAAAGACAGCAGGTTACAAAAAGCCCCCCCTTCTAAGCTGGCATGATTTTATGCTCATGTGCCGTGTTAGGTACTATGTACCAAGGAGCACTTCTCACCCTTAAGATTTTCTCTGCCTTCACTTTACCCTTATTTGTGGGTATGCAACCAGAACTCACGGAAGGTTTGGATAAGAGAAATGAAATCCTCACTGTGAAAGCTGAGTCTAGTAGAGTCCCTATTTGTGGTTTGAGAAAATGGGGCCAGAGGTCCCCTCCTGGGTCTGTAGCCTTCTTTTTTTGATACTGTCTCTGCATAGTCTCCTGTACATGCTCCTAACTGAGCAACTCAATCACGTCTTTCTCCCTGACCGAAGCACCTCAGTGCTTTTTATTGTAAATTTTCTCTGTCAGGCCCTGGGGCTAGTGTGAAAGATTCCTGAAAACCTGTCCTCCCCTAACAGCGGGAAGGAGGGGGAGGAGATCAAATGTTTAGCATAGTCACACATTGCTTAACCACCTTTCAGTTAATGACAGACCATGTATATCACAGAGGTCCCAACAGGCTACCACATACGGCGTAGTGGGCTATAGCATCTAGGTGTGTGTAACTACACCCTAGGACGTTAGCACAGTGACAAAATCACCTAACGACGCATTTCTCTGAGCGGTTCCCCACAGTGAAGCGACACATAACTGTCAACACTTTCTGAATGATTAACTCTTAATCATTGTCCAGAAAAAGAAAAGAGGAGGAGAGGAAAATCCAGGAAAAAAGAAAGAAGGCCAGAGTCAGGAGGCGAGCCCTGAAGGAAAGGGAGAGGCACCGGCAAAGGAGACAGAAGGACAGAGCCAAGCCTGAGACACCTCAAGAGCCTGACTCTTCAGAGGAATGGGAGGAGAGGAAGTACCTGCTGGCCCAGAGGCGTGTGGAGGCTCTTCGGCTGCTTCGGGTACTCCTGAGGAAAATTGCAGCTAGGCTCTTTGCCAGTCGTTTTTCTGTTTTGGTAAGTACTCATCTTCCTGAGGCACAGCTTTGCATTTAAGTCGTGGCCTAGTTGGCATGGCCCCCATGGGAGACGCACTGCATTCACTGGGGTTTGTTTCCCATAGGTTGATCTCTAATAACCCCATTTATGGTTTTACCAGAGGCACCTAAATTCTCTAAAGGAGTCGTGTCTCACCACTGACAACACACACACACACACACACACACTCACTCTCTCTTTGTGTTTCTAAACTCGAGGAAGGTATCGCCTAGAGCACTGTACCTAGTGTATCTGCTTTTTTAAGTTCCTAATGGGTGTAAAAGAAAATGTCAGGGGGAAGAAATGGCGCGTGTGGGTGTTAGGGTCCGAGTCTCTCTTTAACTTTACTTGTCTGTTTATCTGTAACGGGCTCACATGAGAAGGGAGAGCCTTGAGAGAGACCTTTGTGTAGCAAGCTCATGTTAGTCTAGTCTTAAACTATTTGCTATGGAATTTCTCACATCACAGAGCAGTTGTTTAGTTTGGAGAGTTTCAGTTCGGAAAGCCCCCCCTCTCCCCACTTACCTCCTAAAGATAACCAGAGTTAACAGATGTTCAGAGTAAAAGCCAGAAGGGCTCCCAAACTCTTAATTTAAAAATCCACATTCAGTGCTTTTAAATACAAAGAATTAATGTCATGCATATTAGCATTAATTTGAGGTATATTTGCAGTCTCCACCTTTTTATCATTGGTGTGGACAATCAAAGTTAGTGAAATCAGGATCAGAAAGAACTCATTGGCATTTATAATAAGGCTACTTGGGTCCTTTTTAGTTGACCTTAGTGACTCCTTTTCAAGAATTTGACTCTGTAATGTCTGTGATACCTAATTCTCAGCCCACTGGCTGCTTAAGCTGATTATGCAGTCCCCAGATTCTTATGCCAGGTAATGGGTAACCACTGTGCCCTATTTTGTGCCTGTGTCTTCGGGAATGCAGTGCACACTCCCCCCACAGGATGGGGCTTATGGGTTGTTGCGCAGACCACACACAGAGCCACCGTCGTGGCCACGGCTTCTATTGTGTCTCGCTTCTTTCTGAGATAGGCAAGGTGGCAACTCGGTGACTCCCTCACCTGCAGTCCACAGGATGAGGCTGGCACAAAAAACAAAGATCATTTCTTGTTTAACCCAGTTGACTCAGACACACATTTCACCTATTAGTATTTTCTGGTTCGAGATTTTTCTGGGCAGTGTGGAGAGTATTTCCTATTCCTCTTCATGTCCCAGCCCTAGCACAATACCTGGAAGAGTAAGGAGACTTACCAGTTTGTGAGCAAATGCAAAAAGGGTCGTGTGCTTGAAGATAGGAATACCCATGCACGTTCTAACATAAGGATGGACACAGACCTAGTAAAAGCAGCTCATTTAAAATGGACATTTCGTTTCCCACCCCTCCCCCCATTTTTTCAGTGCAACGTTCGTCCTCATCTGCATCTACCCCAACTAGTATGAGAAACCTCTTTAGAACAATGTCAGAAAGTCCAATTTACTTTGAAAGTTTTATTTTAAAATTTTTAAAAAATGTATCTTATTTATTTTCTTACATCTTCGTTAATTTTTGAATAGTATTTGATTTCTCCCCCCGTAGTTCTCCCACCACCATAGCACCCGAGGTCCATCTACCCCATCCTTTCTGCTCTTCTCTCCCCTGTTTTGATCTCCGTCCCCTTCAAGTATGCCTCAGACCGATAGTCAGCTTGCAGGTTTTTGTCTGTTTTTTTCCCTGACACTTTGTTTTTCTCTATATTCTGCACACAAATGAAAGCATCCAATATTTATCGCTTCTCCTGACTTATTTCATTTAGCAGAATCCCCTCCAGCTTCATCCATGTTGCCACCAATGACGTGAGTTCATCTTTTTTGATCACTGAGTATTTCTTTGAAAGTTTTAATCTGTTCAGTTTTTCATGTGAGATTTTTAACATTTTTTTAAGGGATCCTCACAATTTAGCCCACGGGACATAGACACTGCAGCTAAAAGTGTTCTGGGGAACATGCTGCAAAGGCAGAGGAAAGACTTACACATTATGTATCTTCAAAATTGTGAAGAAATGTCAGAATATCTGGTTGCCAAGCCAGACAACAAACAAGAACAAAGCCTGAAGAAAAGAAGTGGGGCTTACTTACATAAATCTCCTGAGCACCTTGAGGAAAAAAGAATAAAATCTTCAGCTAGAAGTGAGAACATTGGAAAATTATTAAGTGATGACTGCAATGACAATTTGCCCTCTGACCAGACATCCTTGGAAATTACATTAATTCCAGGCCGGCCTCTGGAGAAAGAAGACTACTGCGGTTCTGGTCAACTGTATTCTTGCAGATTATCTGAGCGAGACCATGGCAGGAAAGAGAAGATATATGAAACAGAAGAATTTACTGACTACCTATTAAACTACTATCAATCTCCAACATATTCCCGTATCTGCCTAGAGCCAAGTCACGTGACGGGTCCCTATCAGTGGCAGAGGGCTGTCTTTGACAAGGGAAATGGACTTCAAATCAATTTGCAAAAACCTAGGTTTCTCTCAAGCAATTTGAGCCAAATGCAAAACATGAAAGGGAGAAAACAGGTTCAAGAAGAAGATTACTGGACCAAGACTTGTCGTGAGGCTTTTGAGTATAAACCACAAAAGAGAGGAAATGTGGGTTACGTCAAAGAATGTACTAAAGAGTTTCAAAATCATTGCAAGGACACAGTCTGTGAAACCAGTGACCAGTTGTCCCCAACTGTGGGACAGAATCATCTGTTGGAAAAGACCAATGCCTCTGAGGTGGGAGATTCCAAATCCACAATGAAAAGCCAAGGTTCCTCACCCAGCAAGTCAGCAGACTTAGATTTAGAATTGACAGATTTCTTTGAGGAAATTAGTAGTGATTCTGAATGTTTCAGTGAAATCCTGAGCATAAATGGAGAGAAAGAGAAACCTGTGACCACACATACTTCCTCAGAAAGAGGTTCTCCTGACACTAATAAAATCATCATATGCAATCAGGAAAATAGGCCAAGTCATCGCACGTTTTATTCAAAGTGGAAACAGAATGGTGACAAGGAATACTCAAAATACAAGCTTAGACAGCAAAGGAGGAGGTCCAGGTATAAAATGAGATATTCACGGCTTGAGGGTGAAAAAAAATCTGTTAGATGTGAGAACAATGGACGGAAGAGGGCTGTTCTAGCCCCCAGATATTTGTCTGATAGAGGCTACTACTATGAATCCAGTTCCAGTGATCTATTAAATGATGTCACTAGGAAGAGGAGGAGGTTTAGTGATAATACATTTGACCAAAGTGTGAACTATAGGCAATCTTGTGTGTCCGTATCACTCACTGAAAGTGCTAATGATTTCCATGGGAGGAATAGCCCTACAAGAAGAGAGAGCCCTTGTCAGTCAGAACATAACAAGGATACAAGAAGATGTAGACAACACGAGAGCTCAGAAGATTCCATGCTGAAATCTGATAATCATATTAGACACAACCATCAGGAGCTCCTTGACCATGGCAACAATTTAAGAAATGACCCCACTAGTTCTTTATATTTACAAATGTTTTGAATGTCTCTTGGATCAGGAACACCCTTATTCACAAGAAACAATTTGCAAGAAAAAATTGTAAGACCAAATATAGCTATGTAGTTAACAACTGCAGAGCAAGAGAGTGATATTTAAAAACTTGAGCAAGGTCAAATGCAAGAACTTGTTTCTCTTGCCAAAGTATAAAGCGTAGATCAAAATGACTGCAATTGTGTTGGCAAGTATTGAAAATACAAAACATTTAGATACTGATGCTTGGCAAAACAACATACTCACAAGAGTTCCTGATCTAAAGACATATATCTGTGGTTCAATGACAACTTTAATTTGGTGCCAGCGAAGGAGCAAAGTAACATCCTTAGTAGTTGGGATAGCCCTCTCAGGCTCTTTTGCTGTTATAACATCATCATTTGGTCTCACTCATCTTCAAAGAGGATAACAATGAATGAACAAGATCTTTGTGCATGATCTTTGACTTGTTGTGTGGCAACAGACTTTCCTGACTTATCTAGAAAGAATTATAGATCAAAAGAGAGATGACAGCTGGAACATATAGTAGATTTCATGACATTTGAGAGTTTCATGAGTGCCCACCACAAGGAAATTAATCTCATTAATAGATTCATAGGACTCAAAGAGCTGTCTTTTTAGAGCGGAGTCTTGGAAGAAACATCTAAAAAGGACTCAAGTTGTCCTTTGAGTCTCGAATGGATGGTGGGTCTTTAAGAGACTTGTTTTTTGAAGAGCACCATGTCATTCCATCCTAGAAATGAAACAGAATTGGAGTATACAACCAGTGGGATTTGCAAAAGGATATATTGAAAAATCCTGAGGCACCATCAGTGGCACTTGGAAGAGAGGGCATGACAGTATTCCATTTCAGGTTATGTAATCCTTTCACTCTCAGGGCTGGGTGACATCAGTTTGTAAAAAGCCACTGAATAACCCCAAACTGACTTTTATAAAACAATAACAAGTGCCTCCTCAATCCTCAATAATGCCATGGAGTTAGGAAGAGTCGAGGGCAAAGCTCATAATTTTCTAGCTGGGGAAAAACTATGTGTGCAGGACTTGTAAGCTGTGAACAATCACAATTTATCTTTTTACCTACTGGTTTTGAACTTCTTAAATATGTTTTTAAATTGAGATATTTTATAGATTGGTAAAGACTTACATCTTAATGCATGTTCTATTGAGCGATGGGTTGATGCATTATGCCTTATATTGGATTTAGGATCTCAGGGGCAGTCAATGACCTTCTCTATCCACCAAACCTCCCCCCCCCAACTAAAGCTACAATACCTGACTTGGCAGTAGAAGACATCAATGAGATTAGGCTGCCTGCACCAGGGAAGGTGATTTCAATCCACAGGAATAGCGGAAGGCAGCAATTTTATGTCATGATTCGTTTTCAAACATTCTTCACTTCATATACTATAGAAAAGTAGCAACTGGTAGAGCAAATGCTGGATGCCAGTCAGTGTGGTTGCCCTGAATGATGAGGCATGACATGTGCTCATAACCAGCCTCTTGAGCAACCTAATATCCGACGGTACGACAAAATCTCCTAATTTATCTAAAGCAAGAGCCACAAATTATTTCACTGATCACTTCTAATCTAGTAAAAATATATTAGGACATGTAAAAGTTCAGAAATAAATGTAACATAACAGATTATTTTTATTATTAATAAGATAATAGCCAATGAAGGATTTGTTGACTTTCTTGTAGTCAGTTCTACTTTCAAGCCAGTGGCTCTGCCATCAAAACTGGATTTGGTTTGTCAATTCTGAAAAATCGCTCCAAAGGCGAGTGCCTTTTCTTCTCTGAGGACTAGCAATGTCTATTAACGTGCAAAGTACCATTGTCCAGAGTAGCCTTTTAAACTACAGCTTGTACTTTGACTACTTTCAATAAACTAGGTATTATTCTTGACCAATGAGACTCTGCCTCATTGTTTCATGCCACTGAAACAAAGAGCATTATGGGTTTGCTACAGAAAGCAGTTATGCTTGTTTTGAAAAAAAAAAAAAAATCTCACTGTCTTCTGTAATTTGATAATTTTTCTTCGAAGAGTTTAGGCATGAAAACAATTTGCTGCTCATTAATCAGATATAAAAACAAATTTTCAGAATACAGCATGTGGAACTTTTTTTTTTGTATAATAGAACTGGTGCTAAGTCACGTCTGTAAAACATTTTTGTCTTTTGTTTGTTTGCTAAACATCATGCTGGAACCTCTAAGAAAGTAAAAATACTGGTTTTATGTTTACTTTACAACTTTGGATTTTTATGTCTTGTGTAATGAATTCTAGATTTGAGTAAACGTTTTTTTGGTATAAGCCTTAAACAGAGAACAAGGACCTATCCTGTGCTTTTAATCTAATGGCTTAGTAAGGACTGATATAGAATTGAAAATATTGTACTCACTTTCTACTAATTAACACCGTTATTCTTTGTTGTGCTGTTACAGCGTGCAAAATATTTTCTCATGCTTTTTTTCCATGTCCTATAAAGGACATGAACTTTAAACTTTGTCAAATAGGTGTTTTCACCTTTTTCCTTGTATGTGTACCTGAGAGTGCTTTAAGAAAACTAAAAATCTATCAATGTGTTTTTGTTCAATTTGTTTGAATTTCTCAGGTAGAAAGCCGTGTAACCCGGTGATTTTGAAAATAAGAACCAAATAAATGTATTTTTGGTTGCAAGACTTTAAAATCTTAACTTTTAAATAAATGCTGATAATTCCATGAGGAGGGTAGGGAATTTCTACCTGTAATATGTTGCTTTGCACTAATATTGCTGATCCTTTTTCTCATTTGCATTGTTAGAGAAGTAACACACATTTACTTTTCAAATATATCAAAAATAAAATTGTATACTGAAGAAGAGTCTTTGTTCATTTATTACATATATTGAATGTTGCCCATATACAGGAACATCTTCCATGAAAATCTCCATGTCCTGTTTTAATATTCTCTGCAACTTTGTGTGGAGCAGGTTTGTGGGGACTGACTCTGCCAGAGCTCATGAAACCAGTTTTATTATTGTGGACAAACTGAAATCCTATTTGGATTTAAGACTACCCTCCCTTCAGCAAAGGTTTTATCAGTGCTATTAAAAGGTAGCAAAATGGGGGCCTCCCCGGTGGCGCAGCAGTTGAGCGCTGGGTTGCGAAGCTGCCCGCGGCCTCTGCGGCGCCGGTTCGATCCCTGGCTGCTCCCCGGCCACCGGAGGAGGGTCCCACATGGCACAGACCTCCTGCCGCCCGCTGCTCCCCTGAGCAGTGTACTTCGGTCCCTCTGCCTGCTCTGCTCCCCGCTCTGGCTCTGGTGAATTCTCTCACCCTCCCGCGCTTCTGACTGTACCCAGTGCTTGTATAAACAAAACAAACAAATAAATAAAATAAATAAATAAATAAATAAAAGGTAGCAAAATGAATTCTATGGAATTTCATCTCAGACCTTCAGCACTTGATGGAAGTGGTTATACTCCCCCCCGCCAAAAAAAAAAAAAAACAGGTATGGGTGTGGAATAAGAGGTCTAGTCACAGGGGCTACATCTCTTATAAGGCCAATTTAAAAAGTAAAATGACAAAACACAAATTCAGGGTAATGCATTGTTTCCACAACTAGGGAACTCAGTAATCAGTCTTTGACCACTCAAGAGGTCAGTCTTTTCACATGAAATGTACAGCAAACTGCATCTAGGTGTTATGTAACAGCCTGTACCTTAGAGTATAATATGGGCACTTTAGAGCTGAAAGGGTCCTTGTTGAGTTCAAAGATCTCTTTCTGAAACAGCAAGGACTGTATGGATGCTTGTTTTGGATCTTGCACTGGCGTGTTGGGCCCCCTGAACTAAGGTGAATGTGACCTCAGGTGGTATGGCCCCTGATACAAAGACTGAAAAGGCTTAGCAAATGTGGCTCATGCCCCACAGATGCTGGCACTGAGAAAGTGTCTGCAGGGGCCAGAGATGTTCCCGACCTTCCCCCGCTGGCACAGTGGCTGTACCAACCACTCCCCCATCTTCTAGAGTGGTGCCTTTTACGTAATATGGCTTATGAATATGCTAGCTGGATTTAAGACGTTTTTTTTAGATCAAAGTCCTGCCTTATAGTAATATCCTTTTACATGTAATCAGCAGTGTTAGCTTAGTTCTGAATGGAGGGGAATCAGGCTCTCTGGGATGGAAGCTTTAACCAGGCTCTGGAAGTTTTCCTCTTGGCATTAGAGAAACCCATTTAACTCTGTAAAAGGAGTAGCCTAATCTTCATGTGGAAATGAGATTTCAGGCTGCAGAGGTGGCCCAATTTCTCTCCCACCCTGTCCTCGAAGTATATGCCATAACAGTTTGGCACAAACAGGAAAAAGAGCCGTTTGATGAATGAAGCCTAGTGGGGGAATGGGGCACATTTTAAAACAAAAAAAACCAGGCAGTATGATTTGATAAAATAAAAAATGGAAAGCTGTGAGCCCTCTTTGGTTCCGGAAGTACATAAGAAAACATTGTCAATTTTAACAGTAAGATGACAAAACCCTAAAATTCCAACTAATATGTTGTTTACACAACCAGATTTGCATATGCAAATCTGACATCCTTTTTTTGACATGAGGTGAATTAATGCCCCTATGTAAGGATTCCTGAATACTTTCCTGTCCAAAGGCAAATTAAAACAAAATCCCCAAGACCTTTTCTTAGCATTTGATAATACCATCAGCACAATTTACCTTCTAACAACCTAGTTACAGACCTCAATGCCCAAGCCTGCCTTGAGTTTACAAAGTTCTGAGTTAGAGGCAAAATTGGACAAGTCACAGAAAATAAATTTGATTTACTAACTCTAAACAGGACAAGCTGGTAGTTGTTTTGTGGTGTGAGGCGTTTATGAACTTCTGCCCCTTGCTTCTTATGGATTTAACAAAAAGTCCCTCAAAACAAACTGAGGGGCCTCCCCAGTGGTGCAGCTGGTTGAATACAGCGCTGTGAAGCTGTCAGCAGCCTCTGCGGTGAGGGTTCTATTCCCGGTCAGCTGGGGAGGTACCCACATGGCACGGCAGACCTCTCCTGTCTCACCCGCTGCTCCCCTCATTACTGTTTTGGGTCAGTCTACCTGTTCTGTTCCCTGCTCTGTCTCTAGTGAATTTTCTCACCCTCCTGTGCCTCTGGCCTGTACCCCAGTTCTTGTATAAATAAATAAATCTTTAAAAAAAAAATAACTGAAACTGAGTATTAAGCTGAAGTAAAATGATTGAATCTGAATCTGGTTCCATAAATGAAGGTTATAAAAACAAAACCCACCACAGTATGCTGGGTCCAACCATTTTATTAACAGACCAAAGCACTTCATTTTGTTTTGATTTGAGGTAAAACCATTAAACACAGTTCACAAGAAAATACAACTATTTAACTACAATTACAAGAGTTCGAACCCTCACTAGTTGTTCATATAAGACTTTTACAACTTCATATAACTGTACAGTCTACTTAACTAAGTTTATTGTTAACCAAAAGACCAATATCGATAGACCTGGATACTTGACTACTTTTGCGGTGCCTACAGTTTTGTAACAACAGAGTGACATCTTGTGAATATACTTTTAAAAACCACGCTAGTCATATACAGTTTACTCCTTCTTGGGTGTGTGAAGGCTCTTAGAGCAAACACCTGTTCCACGTGCCCCTCTCATGTCAAATAACCATTTTCCCACCACGAATGTGAGAAATCAGAAGACAGCCCTATCATCTTCATATATATAGATTTTTAGGCAAACAAGCTATTTTTTTCCCAAAGCTTTTTTTTTTTTTTTGAATGTTGTGATCTTGTTTGAATCCTCACTGAAGATTACTGTTAGTGAGGGTATTGGAGTGTTCAGAGGAAGACAAGGACATTGCAGCAATCTAGAAAGAAAGTCAATAGGTTTCTTCCAACTGAGCCAGCTCTGAGATCTAGTTATTGGACCACATTCCCACTAATCAATACCAAAGCCTTTGGAACACTGCAGATTTGCTTTAGAGGTAGATAAAACAGAAATCATGCAGTGAAGTCAATTGAGAAATAAGGGATTTGCTGTCTTTTAGAGGACATCATGAGGAAGTTAATCCTTTGTTCTTGGTGTTTGAAGGAATCTGCATTGAACTTTTTTTAACCTGTCTGGGGGAAATACCCAAGTCCTATCTGTTTCTCAGGAAAGACCAATTTAAATTCAGCCTGTGCTAACTACAGATAGAAGACAGTAATAACAATCCTATTACAGCACTGCACTTCACTTTCTGGATTTGTGACAAACACACCATGCATTCTAAGACAAGTTAATTTTATCGGTGTCACTAGTGATGTTAATTAAAAACTTTACAGCAAGTTCAAAACTTTTCTAAATATTGAAATCACCATGTTTTAAAGAAAGACTGGAATGTTACAAATGATTCTGCAAAATACAAAAATAGATATGCTTCCACTGAATGCTTTAATCATTTTTCCGAGCATTCTCATCTTTTGGTTCTTCGTCATCTGAGTACACGGTGGGCTCCTCCCCCTCCTTCAGCAGTTTGCCCACGTGATGATATTTGACTGGAGGTGGAGAAGAAAACACAAAGCATCATTCTCATGCTTTACAGAAAATCACGACCACATTTCCTTTAAGCATTATTTGGGGCCTATAATCTACACATCAACGTCTGAGTTTCATGAAGAATGGGGGAAAAAAGGTTTATACAACAGTCCTCACCAACAGGGAATTAAGAGTTTTGTTGAGAATACGAAACAGAGAAGGCTGACGTGGAGTGTACAGGTAAAGGGAGCTGTGGGTGTGTGTAGGAGTGTTTATTAGCAGAAGGAGAGCTCATTCTGAGTTCAAATGGTTACAGAACACTTTATGGGCGAAGGATTTGCTTTGGGCAATGTGTAGGATTTGGGAAGGATTTCCAGAAAATGAAAATGACACGAACGAAAGCAAGCAGGTGAGACTATGTGGGGAGCGACACACACACCAAGTCGGCAGGGGCAGAGTTAAGGCCAGCTAGGCAGTGTGGGGAAATATTATGAAGGATGTGGAAAGCTAGCCTGAGGAGGCTGGACTTATCCTCTAGGTGACAAAGGGCACTGAAAGTTTATGACAAAGGAATGGGCACAGTCAAATGTTGCTTTGGCAACAACAGTATCACTGTGGTATAGGGCAAATTACAGTAAGGGGAGACCAGAAGCAGGGTGACCAGGTGGCCAGCAGGCAGATCTGCACCTGAAAAAACAAGAGCTGGAGTGGGGGGGCTGTCTGTGGGAACGGAAGAGAAGTATATGCAATACTTTAAAGGAAAACTGAAAACATGAGTTAATAAAATGAAAACTGGAGATCCCAGGGGCTGAAAAGGAGACTCTTCTGTGGGAGCCACGGGGTAAGAGAGGGGGGCACATGACAGATTTACAGCAGGGACTGGAGGAATGAAGTTAGTATTGGCAAGAAGCAGGTCCTTGGAAACCTCTGAGAAAGCCGAATCCAATTTTGGGGCTAGAAACCATATTGTAGGGAATAAGAAGGCGTAAGAGAAAATGGAGCAGCAGTTAGGGACGACCAGTTATCAGACTGTGGTCTGACATGAAGGGAAGGAAAGCTGGATAGAGAGGCCAGCAGGACATGGGAGTTTTCCCCCAACGTGGGGGGAGAGGGGGAAGCACTATGTAATTAAAGAAGTAGTACAAACCACCACCATCATCAGGGCTACTGCCCCCAAGCTAACACAAGGTTAATCAGCTCAATATCACAAGCCAAGTCTCCTCCTTCTGAATATGGGTAGGAACTAAGAGTAACCAACCTGTCTAACCAGGTAACCAGAGCTGTCTTTGTGTGTAGTAATCATCAGAAACAATTGGAACTTCCCCCTCTGAACATATTTCTCAAGGTCCCCAGGGTGCTTGGGTGGTGGTGCCTGAGAAACCTGCCTTAAGGGAATCCACACAGCTGCGAGTGGAGCTGAAGTATCACAACAGTATGAGGGGCAAGCCTTTGTTTGGGGGGGAACCACAATTTTTACCCCACTGATGAAGGCAAGTCCTAGAAAATAGAGCTTTGCGAGTTAGAAATGACAGCTCATTGGTTTTTTAGAGAACATATTCTTACAAAGGCATCCTCAGGATGGAAAGAATGAGGGACTGTTAGATGGTTAAACTATGTGTGCAAAGTAAAAAAGACCTGCCTCTAGACTTTAAAGTTATACTTAGTCTGTGTGCGATCCAAACTCTAAAGGTGGAGCCACATCTGGCTAACAATTAACCCAGAATTCTCTCTGTAGTCAGCGTCATTTTCAAAAACTGCTGGATTTAGCCCCAAGAGCCAGTGTTGTTTAACTCATTATGAAGAACAGCAAATAGAAAACTACATCTTAAATGCAAAATCTTCCTCAAAGAAATAGTCATGGTCTTTATATACTGTTTCATGCCTGGGAGAGAAATAATCCGTCAAATTCTTGAATAATATTGCTATACATACTGCTAAAGTGATCAACATGCCAGTTTGACAAAATCCAATTCCTTAATTCTCAACAGTTGAACTTAACCTCATACTGACTCCACCCTTTCCCCAAAGGTCTCTAGTATAAGCCAGGAAACAAGTGTCTCCCTTTTCTTTTTAAAAATATAGACACCATTCTTGAGGGGTGCAGATTATAAGCATCACTTGTAGATGAAGCCTATGGTTAGTCTCAAGTCCATTCAAAGAGAAGCTGTTTTGTAGAATACAAGTCTCCCATTCTTCAACAGAGATGTGGGCTGCTTTTAAGCAGCAAGCTCGGCAAGAGAGGGCTGATGAGAAACCCCTCTTTCTGTAACCAAGAGGGCCACAGCAAGCACTAAACCCTAGTGTGAAATCTCTGCAAAGCTCCCGAAAATTTGAAAAACAGGAACCCAAATCTCCACTGAGAACAAGCTAAAAATTGGTATGCAATCCTGGCAAGTGACTCAGCACTGCTGCAATTCCTTCAAGCCATGAACTTGATCCATCCAGATTGAGGAGCCTATCAAAATGCTCCCAAGTTTCAGGCTGCTTAGTAATAACTATTGTACTATTGCGAATCCCATTACGGGCAGAAATTTGATCTAGGCAGAAGTTTAAAAAAAAAAAACAAAACGCTTACAAGTGAACTGAGAGTCCCAGTCATTCAGGGTCTCCTGCTGGGCAGCATTGAGGTCAGAAAGGTCGTCGTACTCATCCTTCAGGGCTTCCTTATCCAGGCAGAATGTGGCAAGGCCCCTGGATGCATCTCTTCCGGCAAAAACCCCATATGGCCCCTCTTTAAAAACAAAACAAAACCAAAGGCCAATTGTTTATTACACAGTCAATTTCTCTGTGGCTTATACACAAAAAATGGCTTCCCTGCACAACACAAAGTCCCTTTTTAAAAATATCAAACTCCATTCTGAAACTATAAAAGATGTTGATACTTTCATTATTATGTAGTGGACATTTAAAGATCTGTTGTCAGTAAACTCTGAAATAACTAAAACGAAATCAAAACATTATCTGCTTCCTGAAATTCCCAAATACTTAATAAAAGAAGCCAGAGTGATTATCTTGGTGATGGTGGTAGGGAACCATCCAAGGTAACACTGAGTTTATGGGTTGCAATTCAACCTCAGGACATTGAACCCACCGGTTGGCTCTGTTCTAGGCACTTAGGCTACATCTGTGAAAGTTGTTTCCTTAAGTGAATCAATACTAGGGCATACACGAAAATGTTTCCCTAGAATTGTCTTCTGAGATGTTTTAATGAGTCAAGATTATCTTGGTTGTGAGACTACAGGAAACATTAACACATGGTATCTGCATAAGTCTTTTATAAGAGTATTGATGATTCAGAAATCTATCCACATGTTACATAATCTTCACTGTCAATAAATAAGAAAGAGCACAGTGGAGGTCAGCTCTGTCACTGTTTTTGGTGGGCCTGAAGAGGTAACTGCAAATACTAAAACTTTCAAGGGAAAAAAGTGTTGACTCAGTATTTCAAAATAGCTCCATGAAACACTAAGATACTATTATATATATTATACCGAACTTTTGTCATGGAGAGTCATAAATCATTCTGTAGGTACTTAAAGTTGATGGTTAGGCTTATTTAAATATTGCACAATGAAAAGAAACCAGTGTACTTTAAACAATGCGTTGTTTCCCCAAAGCCAAGATGAGATGGATTGAGTTTCAATATGCCTTGGTCACCCCAAACCTCCATCCACCAAGAATTTTTCTTACAGACTAGATGAAATTTAAGATTCACTTTTACATGCAAATAAAATTCCAAAGGATAGTAGTTGTTTTTAAATCATCACTCCATGCTACCATTTCCACTACCAGAGGTAGTGGAACTGGCTGCCTCTAGTGCTTGAAAATAGGATACCTATACTGGTTTGAAAGTCACCATTTTAGAAATTAGTCACAGGACACTTATGCACAATCTGAGAAAAACATTAAAAGCAAGGAGCAGAGATTTATGTCTATTTTGCTCACTGCTATATTCTCAGCACCCACAAAAATGCCATGCATAGCATAAAAGGCATTTGAATGAGTAATTTGTAGGATTTTTTGTAACATGAAATATCATCTCCACAGTGTTTTCACAAATTCGAGGGCTCACTGAATGACAGTGCAGGGACTTTGAGATCTGACGGCAGGCCATCCTTACCATTTCTCGGAGGCTCAGAGAGAACAATGCTTTGCAGCAGGTCACACAGCTGGCCAGTGTTCCAACCATGACCGGAACCCAGGCTGCCTGGCTCCTAGTTTTGTTATCTGTGCACAAAGGCCTACCTGCGTCTCAGTGAGTTTGCAAACTACAATCAGACCATGCCCCAGGCACCTGTTCTGATGACTTTATGGTGTAGCTCAGTAATAACAGGTATTTACATGGGTATGTTCATTGATGCCTCTAGGTGTGCCAGTATACGTGACAATTCAGGTATGATTTTCAAGCTCTTTTGACAGTTACATGCGTATAGAAGGTCGGTCTTGTAAATGGTGCACAAGAAAACACTGTGAAATGGGAGAGTTCCTCGGGAACCTTACCACATCTGATTTCAATTCAGTTGGATGGGAAGAATAAAACAAAGCAGGGGTGCGTTTGATGGGATTGGAATGGCCTTCCATCCTCTTCCCTCCAGACCAGTGGGGAAGAGAGCACAGTCAATGTGGACACACTCCAGAGCTCCCTGTTTTTATGAGTCCATATTGGAGGAGCTAAAAATCTCTTCCTCCTCCTCCTTCTCTCCAAATATTAGTCCAGGAGCATGTGAAAATGCAAATTCCTGCCCCCCTCCTATAACTCTCCCAGGGTTGGTGGTTAAGGCGACCATTTATATTTTCCCTCCAGTGCTTCAGGTGATTCTGATCCTTCACCAGGCTTGGAAAAAGCCTCAATTGAGCCCCCTCCAACCCTGCCCCCACTAACAGGTGAGCAGTCACCTACCCCCCTCATTTTCCCTCTGGTAGGCTTTTCCCGAAATCTCCACACTAAGGAGCCATAGTTGCCTTATGCCTTTGATTTCCCAGAAGCCTCCCACTTCTTCCTCCCTCCATTTTTAATTTTGGGGGACTTCTAGTCCTTTCTGCAGACGAAAATATAGTATTACCTTCTCATCTTGCCACATTTCCATTGTCTGTTAACATTTTAGCCTTCGCATGCCTCCCTCAACCACCTCCCCATGGAAGCTCCCGGCGTGCACCTTCCAGCCTTTTCCCGTGTGCCACACAGGACGCGCACACACATACCAAACACACGCCACACACATACGTGACACATGCCACATTCCAGGCGCGCGCGCGCCCGTCAAACAAGCACGGGCGCAGAATGCGCACACCCGGCTCTCACGGCGCACAAAGCTTCTACCTGCTGCTAATCCCATCTCCGCCTTCCCTCTCCCACACCCTCACATTCCACCATGGCTACACCCCGGCGAAATAGGCCTTCGCGTCTTTTCCCCGGCTGGACCTCCCTCCCGCCCGCCCCCAAGCCTCCCTGGAGACACCCTTTTCCTCTCTCCAGTCCTACGCCACCCCCTTCTTTAGGGAGTACCCACACCCGATCCCTTGAAACTCCCCGACACACTGCCCTCTACTGTGCCCCCCTACGCCGTCAGCCTCGGCATCTCACCCACCCACCTCGGGCTTAAGCGCCCAAGCCCTCTTCCGCCACCAGCCGCCCCAGTCTGGCGGCGCGGGCCGGAAACCTGTGCCCCCCATTGGCCCGCAGCCTTTCCAGAGCGCCTCTCGCCCCCTGCCCGCCCCAGGAGCCGCCCTCTTCGCCCCGCCCCGCCCCGCCCCGCCCCGCCGCCACCGCCACCCCCGAGGGCGCCCCGCTCCTCCCTCGCCTCACCCGGGCTCAGCCCCGCGCTGGGGCCCTGTCTTTTGTCTCCGCGCCCCCAGCCCCACCCCGGCCGGTCCGTACCCGGCCCGTAGAACTTGCGGCCTTTGGTCACGTCGAACACCTTGCCGTTGATGGCCATGAGTATGCGCGGGTCCTGGACGCCGTCGAAGCGCCGCAGCTCGGCGGGGGTAAAGTCGCGCCGTTTAAGGCGGGGCAGCGGGGGCGGCTCGTCGTCGTCGTCGCCGCCGGCCGCCGGCTGGTCCCCGCGCACGATCTTGTAGAGCAGGAAAATACAGAGGCCGAGCAGCAGCAGGTTGAGCGGCGATGTGAAGATCTCCTGCAGCAGCCCGCCGCTCTCCAGCTCGCTCGTGTCGGCGCCGGCCGCCGCCACATCCTCGGCAGCCATGATCTCGAGAGCAAAGGTTGAGCCGGGCTCAGAAGGGCTCCGGAACTGAGCTTTCTCTTCCCTCTCCGCGAGCTAGTGGCGCGCGGGGCTCGGCGCAGCTGAACTAGCCCGGGAAGGAGGCGGGGCCTGAAGGGGCGGAGCCTGGTCGCCACGCCTCCCCCGGGCCGCAGACGCTCCCGACCGGGCTCAGCCCCGCCCCGCCCGGCTCGGCCCCCCACCTGGCCTTGGGCGCGCGGCTCCCCTCCCCCAGCCGGATCTCTTGGCCTGTGCCCAGAGAGCGCCGTGCCCACCCCTCAAAGGTACCTGCGAGGCCCCAGCCCCAACCTCACGCCATCCTCACGCCATCCTCTAGATCACCGCGACGCAGCACGCCGCCCTCCTCCGCACCCCTGGCTGCTCCCCGCGCGTCAACCCACTCGGCGAGCCTGGGTTTCGCCGGGCTCTGAGTGAGGCCCTCCACCACCTGATGCGCGCCAAACGCCGACTCCATTGCTCTTGCTTCAGGCTTCTCCCTGCTTTCTGTTCCAGAGCCTCATGTCTCCCCGGCCATCCCCCTGGACCACGAGGCTCTGTTAGGAGACAGACTCCTTCTTTGAGCTCTCCTTTGCACCTTAGAGACCCGGACTACTCGTTTTCAACTCAGGGAATCCCCATTCGCTGTCCTTGATGGCCCTCCTACCGTCCTGCACCCCCACCCCCGGTGTTGTGGGGCAACACCCCTGGGATAGCTAACATCAGTGCACATGCCCCCGTTTGATAGCTCTCCCAGTATCTGGGGAAATGGAACGGATGGTCCGATTTACTTTGGGTCCTCGAAACACTAAACCCTTTTGCAGTGGCGAGGCATCAGCAAACAACGTTCTGTGGTTACGCTCTCCCCCAGAATAATGACCGAAGTTTCTTTGTTTGGCAGCTTTCTTGAATTTGAAGTCTGTCGAGCTGCCCTTGGCAGTCACAATAGCGCTGTGCTGGAGCCCAGACGAAGGCGGGAGTTTGGAAAGATCCTAGTTGGGTCCCTTCCTTGCCTAGGTATTACTTTCGGCCATTGATGTGCTAACCCGGCTGCGCTGGAGCTGGCCTTACAGAGGCAGGGCTGCCGGTGCCCTTTCGAGTTCTAATCTGGCAGCCTTTATTGTGGCGGGGGAGGGGAGCGGAAGAAAGGATAGAGAGAGGGGAAAAATAATTAAAACCAAGCCATGCACACATCTGCAGCCCAGAGCAGTACTTTTCCATCAAGAATTCTGTTCGCTTGCACATAATTTACTCCCCCTCCCAACACACAGGAGACTTGAGAGAATTGGCTTACCTCAGAATTCTAAAAATTTCTGGCACAAACAGCTTCCATCCCTGCCCCCCATGTAATCTTCTTAAATAATTTAAAAGTGCATATGAGCTGAACAATCTTCAAATCGGGTCCACAGATTTTTTTTTTTTTTTCACAGATCTAAATTTAGGATTCGCTGAAATGGCCCTTCCAGAGCTTTTGTCAAACCTCTTCAGTTTCATCAAGGAAAAACAGACTCAAACGGAGGGCACTCGGCTGTAGTTAGAATCGAATTATCTTAAAAAACAACAACAAAAAACCCCCAAACTTTATGGTGGCAAAGACATTTGTAAAAACCAGCAAACTTGTCGATAGTATTTTCATTTGCAAGGAACATGACAAAAGGTTATTTCATATCTTTTAAGAACTTATTCTAATTGCTAGAAAATCTGAAAGTTCCTAGTCAATACATGAGCAAAAGTAGGAATGGGTAGTCCACAAAATAGGGGGTACCAGTGGTGAAAAACAAGAAAAATGTTGGGTGTTGCTAGCAATAAAAAATTGTAGCACCACTCTACCTGATCTCTTTCCTATAGGAAAGAGAAAAAGCAAAAAAAAGGTAACACAACACTGGCAAGAGAGTGGTGAGACTTGTAGTTTGAGGAGTAGAAATGGGCATACCCTCCTGTTACCCATAAAAATATTTTCTATCCATTAATCCCACTCCTAGAAATCTGCTCTTTGATCCAGTAAATTCTACCTCTAGGAATCCATCCCAAGGAAACACTTACAAATGCAAACAAAGATTTCATTTCTAAGATGCTTATCAGATAATAATGTTTAATATAGAAAAGCTAGAAACAGCCTAAGTGTTCAACTTGAAGAACTAGCTGATGAATCCACTTGAACTGTGACATAACACAGTGTATGATGCCATCCAAATATTAGCATGACCTAGGAAAAAGCTCACATATTAATCCTAAGAGAAGAAAACAGGATATAAAGCTACATACAGGGCCTCCCCGGTGGCGCGGTGGGTTGAGCGCTGCCCTGTGAAGCTGTCTGCAGCCTCTGCAGTGTGGGTTCAATTCCCGGCTGGACAGGGAGAAACCCACGTGGTGTGGCAGACCTCTCCTGTCTTGCCCGCTGCTCCCCTCAGCAGTGTCTTCAGTCCGTCTGCCTGTTCTGTTCCCCGCTCTGTCTCTGGTGAATTCTCTCACCCTCCTGCGCCTCTGACCTGTACCCAGGTTCTTGTATAAATAAATACATCTTAAAAAAAAAGTTATATACAGTATGAACACAAATATGTAAAAAATATTGCATGAAAGGAAGCCTGAAAATACACACACCAGAACATTTAACATTGTGCTTCTTAGTTTCTTCTTTATACTTTTCTACATTTCCCACAATGAGCAGGTCATTTTTAGCCTCCACTGGGGAGGCTAGCTCCGATATGTGGAACCTTAAACTGAACTTGAAAAGGGAGTGGAATGGTGGTTACAGAGCTGGAGGGTAGGGGAATGATGGAGAGATGCTGTTTAAGGGCGCATCCTTGCAAACTGTAGGTAAGTTCTAGAGATGGAACACAGTACAGTGATTATAGATAACAAAACTATTTTAAACATTAAACTTTCCAAGAGACTAGGTCTTAATTGTTTCCAACACTAGAAGAAATAATTATGTAGAGGGACAGAGGTGTTAGTCAAGTGGCAATTAGATTACAATATAAACATATCAGAGCAATATGTTGCACACCTTAAACTTACACAATATTGTATGTCCATGACAATTAAAAAAAGTGAGGAGAATGTTTTTATGCAGGGTTAAGGGATTCATAATTTTCACTTCTCACAGTTCAGTGTATTTGCTCCTAGCCCTATTTGCTTGGAAGGGTAATACATTAAATAAAGGAAGCACTGCTTCATACAGAAGGTAGAAAATTTATATAATTTAAAACCTCATAGTGGGCCTCCCTGGTGGCACAGGGGTTAAAGACAGTGTTGTCAAGCTATCAACAGCCACTGCAGCAGGAGTTCAATCCCTGGCCAGCCAGGGAGCAGCCCACATGGCACAGCAGACTTCTCCTGCCTCTCCCGCCTGTTCCTCTCAGCAGTGTATTTCAGTAGATCTGCCTGCTCTGTTTCCCACTCTCTCTGGTGAATCCCCTCACCCCCTGCACCTCTGGCCTACACCCCAGTTCTTGTGTGCATAAATAAATAAATCTTAAAAAAAAAATAAAACCTCACGAAGTGATCCAATTTGAGACACATGTTTTCAAGACAGATTTGGTGTTAAATACAATGGGCTGTTAGGCAACACTGGGATGTTGGGATTATTGAAAAAAAGCATTTTCTTTGCTCTGGCTCACGTCACAGTACTCAGTGGAAAGGCCTACCCCAGAGTGGCAATCTCCAGTTCTCTGGAAATGAGAAAGGATGCTCCAGACCAAAAGCCCTCTCCAGAACAGGAGTGTTGCCTTATATGTGTTCTTTGGCTTCAAATCAATTTATTAAACCTACATACTCGACCTGAGGAAAATTTATCTCCCAAGATACACGTTAAGTCTTTTCCTGTTTCCAGACTTCCTGCCTCCTTTAAATTATTTTCAGGACCCAAGCACTTACTCATTCCCCAGATGCTGAAAGCATGGGTGGCTGACAGCTGGCAATTAAGCCTCCTCCTGAGATTACACTGGACTGAAGAGAGCTTCCTACCTAGCATAAAGCCACACCTGCTGCTTAAGGCAGCCTGCAGGTAGTGAATGACCCATGTAGGGCTATAAAGGTCTTTTCCCCTTTTCCAGTGGGGACAACTCTAGGGGGCCTCCCAGCCTCAGAGTTCCCCCTGTGGGAGTGACAGACTGTGTTGTGCCTGCACACAGGTAACCTCTCCCTTGGTCCATCCTTCTTCCTCGCCTTACCTTTCAGGTGTAAATTCCAAGAGCACTCCCCAGTAAACTTCCCCTAGTCTAACCTCCATTGCAGAGTCTGGTTTTCCAGGGAACCCAACCTAAGACTCCAATCTTCCACGATCTGGCCTCAGCTTCCCTGTCCGGTTTTATCCCTTTCTACTACCTCCTTACCCTCAACACTCCAACTACACCCAAGTGGCCAACATCACAGCTGACCTGTGTATTTGATAGCTTCTACCACTTTACATAGATGGCCTCAGTTATCTCTCATAATGAGTTAGGTTCTCTTAGCACTCTCTTTTTGCAGATGAGGAAACTCATATACAGAGAGGTTAGACAAGTCACTTTTAGTCACACAGCTCGTAAAAGGCAGAGCTTATGCTTTATATGAAATCCTTTTGCTTTTCAGAAGTGTCGTGCTGGTTTGAGCCTACATTGGAGGGGTAGATACCGGAGCAAGGACACCAGGGAGGAGTCTTACTGCAAAAGATCAGGGCTTTTGATCAAGATTGTGATAATGAGGGCATAAATGCAGGGTAAGTGTGATATAGATTTAGGAGTAGGATAGGACATGCCTTAGGAGTCCTCATCTACTTCTCCCATTCCATCTACATCCAACTGATTGATTGTAGGATTTGCCATTGTTTTGATTTTTTAAATTGTATTATTACTTATGGCGGTAATTTTGGTTTGCGATACCGTATTCACCTCTTTAGCCTACATGCAATTTTTGCCCAAATCCTTTGTTTGGGTGATTGAGTGGATGGTATATCATTCACCAACACAAGATATACAGGGGAAGAACAAACTTGCTGAAAGGACCTTCAGATGGGGGTCATATCTTACAGTGTGGTTCACGGACCAGCGGCCTTGACATCAGCTGGGAGTTTGTTAGAAATGCACAATCTTTCACGGTGCCCCAGACCGACTG